TAGAAGCAGCAGGCTTTCCTCGGCGCTGCCGGAATGAGCATTGTCGGGTACGTCTGTGTATGCACAGTCTTCTTTGTAAACGGGTTCAATGGCTCCTGTATAGCGCTGCGTTTCACCTCCACATTGATTCTCGCAAACTTGTCTCCCTTCTCTTCCTCTTTTCTAATTAGCATAAAATAAGGACGAAAATCATTCGAATACATTTTTAAATTTTGAGTTTTTTTTATTAATTTAATATTTGCTTTTATCGTACCATTAAAACCTTTTAAAGTTGTATTATTAAAGTTGATGTCATGTCAGTAATATCTTATTTCTTATGACAACTTCAAAATGTAAAATTGTTCTTGTTATAAAATCTGACGATAAAGTTTATATTATGGCCCCATCGTTGAATTGGTTGATGCATGAAGTGCCCAACAATTTCACGAAATGGTGGTATTTCATGGTATAGCCAGGGCCTGATTTACCCACAGGATAACTAGGCTGGAGCTAAGGTTCGAGGGAGCGTTGGGCTTGCCTTCGCATGCACCACTTATGTGTCCTAGGTGACTTCTTTCAGTCATATTTAATTTTGGTACAAAAAAATAAATAGATTGTAAAAATAAAACTGAATTATTGTTACCTTTCGTCTTTCGTTGACTGACTGGACGTGATTCAAAGATTGTAAATTGCTCAAGCCCTCTTCTCTAATTTTATTAAGGTTTTTGGGCAAGGCTGTCTAAAGGAACTTCTATCAGCTATCTGTTCCATCTCAGCACAGGGAGAACGACTCATTGGCCCATGCCGCAAAGGAGAAAATCGATCTTTTAGGGTTTCTTTTTGAGTCCAACACGACTCTCGATAACAGGGGTATACACCGCCGACCATCCCGCGATGTGATTGCTTCATGATGGATGTGCAGTTTACACAGCTCTCAGTGTGCAAAGCACTCCCCTGCCTTGTTATATGGATGCCCCCTTATAAAACCGCGAACTACGCGGCAACCTCATATTCCCACACAACATTTCAACATTGTTTTCACGAGGCAGTTTTGCTGACTTGATGGGAAACTCGGTCGCCGTTGACTCACAATGACGCACGCGGTGTCAACCGACATAGCACCTTACAAGAAACCTAATCCAGCGAGGCAATTCTGCTAACTTGATGGGAAATGTAGCTGCCGTGGATTCACAGTGACGCCCGCGGCGTCGTCCGACAGCATTATACATACAAAACTCCACAATGCCACTTCACTTCGTTTCTAACATCTGACAAGTGTAGATTTAATTAGATTTAATTAGTATTAGCTTTATAATAGTTCTTTTAAATTAAATTTATTAAAAGTAATTTGGTTTTTTTTGGGACTCGAATCACATACAGTTCCGTGGTCACTTGGATGGGAAGGCCTAAATTGGCCTTTAAAAAGCTTGGCGTGCTCAGCAGAGCAGGACAGTATTTCATGCCGGCACAACGTTTGCAATTTTACAAGGCGCAAGTTCGCCCTCACATGGAGTACCTACTGTTCTCATCGCTGGACTGGGGTATCCCAGTGCCAGCTACTTCTACTTGACCGCATCCACCGAAGAGTGGCTCGAATCGTCGACGACAGGGTTATTTCTGTTTGTCTCGATTCACTGGCGCCGCGAAGCGATGTTGCATCCCATTGCATTTTCCACTGAGAGTACTTATACAAATTATTCGGATTAATTCCAACCGCCAAATTCCACCAACGCATATCGGGACAAAACTCACGGTACCATCCACTTCGTCTGGATGCTTGGCGGTACACCATGAGTGTGCGATTTACTAGTTGTCTTCTTCCCAAGACTTCTTTGTGGAATTATCTACCTACCACCGGCGACTATTCCTGACCGATATGACTTAGAGACTTTCAAGAAACGAGCTTACTCCTTTTAAAAAGGCCAGCAACTTAGCTGCAATTTCCTGGTTAATTTAAAATGTCCTGGAAAATTTAAGTTAATGTGGGCGAAACCGCGGCGTGGAAAGCTATGATATAAAAATCTAGTAAATAATGGGCTAGCAGGCACTGACAGTACAGACTGTTGTAGGGGGGGGGGGAGGGGAGTGCATATCCATAATTAGCCTAGGACTGTCAGAACTCTAAATCAGGCACTGGGTATAGCCAATTATTATTGCCCATGTCGTTTAAATATCACTTTTGTCGATTTGGCCATATCATATATGGTGGCTTTTTAAATTTGAAACTAGTGTAAATACTCTTAAATTAAGATAACTTACTTTTTACTTTTTAAATCTACCCTAGTACTAGTTTTAAAATATGGATGAAAAATTGGTATGAAAAATGTTAAAGTACACAGCCCAAACAGCTGGATGTAGAAGGATGAAATTGTGAATGTTCATTTTATGCGTGTACATAGGCATCCACTATAAATAGATTTTAAAAAAAATCAAACCCTTGTAGATTGAATAGGGTGTTACAGTTTGTATAATGATAATGAAAATTGTTACAAATACTTCTGGATTAAAATAATGAAATCCATGTTTTTCAATTTTCCGAAAATCTTACTTTAAAATGTTAAGACGATTGTAAAAAGTTTACGTCGAAAGATTGGCTTTTCAACTTGTAAAGTGCTGAGGATACCTTTAAAACGAAATTGTGATAATTATGAATAATATATAGTTTCGAAATTTACTAAAATCTTCCCCTATTGACCCTTTAAAAGGTGAAAAATTGTTACACAAAACTTATTATAAATTTTATTAGGCTACTCCCCTTCGGTCCGCCCCGCGCCGGCCTGTGGCCTGTGTTGTGTATTTTAGTAATATTTTGAGCGCTTATTTTAATATTTTCAGGTATACCTCAAAACTTGAAAACGAGACTGTACACCAAGTGCGTGTTGCCAGTGATGACATACGGAACTGAGACGTGGTCCTTTACTGCTGGCCGGATGAGGAAGCTTAAGGTCGCTCAGCGAGCTATGGAGAGGGCTATGCTCGGAGTTTCTCTGCGTGATAAACTCAGAAATGAGGATATCCGCAGTAGAACCAGAGTGACCGACATAGCCCAACGGATTAGTAAGCTGAAGTGGCAATGGGCCGGCCATATAGCTCGAAGAACCGACAACCGATGGGGAAGAAAGGTTCTTGAGTGGCAGCCTCGTACCGGCAGGCGAAGTGTAGGGCGTCCCCCCACTAGATGGAGTGACGACCTGGTAAGATATGCAGGAAGTCGATGGATGCAGGTGGCTCAGGACAGATTCGTTGGGGGAGGCCTATGTTCAGCAGTGGACTTGTGAAGGGTTGTAATGATGATGATGATTTTGAGCGCTAAACTGCTGATTTTATAATATTTTTATCATAGACGAATTTTGGTAATGACCACCAATCACAGCGGCGACCGTAGAATGATTCAACCCTATTATCACCAGCGGCGACAAGTCGTTGATCCAGTTCCTTTAAGGATTTCACCGCACGTTGATCCTACTAACCTATAGTCTTTACAGCAAATGTCACAAATATGTGGGCATCTCTCAGAGACTCATACTTGTGCTACTTACTCAGTTCAGTCGTATCTGATTCCGCCCGGCTCTAAGCTAGATTCCCCTGAGATGAGAGGCTGCTAAAATATCTACGCACGTAACTTCTACACTAGGACTTTACCTATCTCCTAAGGGACTAAAGTCATACCGACGGACCTTCTGCCATCGACTATAAATATTCCAGAATGCAATGCTTTAAAACTGAGGGAACATTTATAGATTTATAAGTGGTAGAGCCATGCTGCAGCTATATTATTAGTATAGTTGTAGCACGAATGGGTCGACTCGACCGGGGAAGGCCCACGCTCTCACAGAATACCAACGTAAAATGGCAACTTGACACTGCTGTGTTTCGTATAGTGAGTGTAGAGAACCGGAGACCCATTTAACTGGAAAAGAGGCATTCCATCTTAATCCTTATGGGTGACGACGGATCCACATTTCGATTCTTTATTGAATAAATGTAGATGTATATGGGTCACAGCAACCACATACCATCACGTGGACTGTGTGCTCGTTTGTCACCCTATCCTATAGAAAGAAATAGAGGCAAGAGCTCTTCAGACATCATCGTTCAGGGAACCGTGACAGGACAACTTTCTAGAACTTTTCTTACATGAAAGAAATTCGAATCATATTTCATTTTTCAGACTAGCGATCCGCCCCGACTTTGCACGGTTGATTTCTGGATCTCAACGACAACGCCGCCTATTGGATGCATTTGTGAATCTAAACCATTCTCTAATCAACTTAGTCATTCACAAAATTTCATCAAAATCGGTCCAGCGGTTTAGAAGTTCAGTCACATAAACACGGAGGGAAGAATTATATAATATGCATGTATTATACATATAAAATATAAACCTTCCTTTAGAATCATTCTCTTGATAACCGCATCAAAATCCGTTGCGTAGTTTAAAAGATCTAAGCGTACAGACGGCGGCAAGCGAGTTTGTTTTATACTATGTAGAGATAAGGAGGATTTTTCAGTGTTTGCTTCCATATAATTTTTAGCTGCATATTGATGATGTTATGACGAGTTATGTGAACGGAAGAATATGCCTACTTTTGATGAGACTTTGATAACCAACTGATAGCAGAATATCCATTCAAAAAAGTTTATCCGAAATTTAACAGATTGCTTAAGTATATAAGTAATTTGTACATGAAAAATGGTACATTCCCAGAATCGTAGGTAACAAAACTTGTAACATTATATTTATATAAAAAATCGAAAACTGCGAAGCTGTCGCCGTGCCCTTTTCGTCTTTTTTTTTAAAATAAAGTATGTCTTCATATTATATTACCGATGCTATAGAAATTAAACCCTACCGGTACCGGTAAGGCAAAGTTTAACTGCTGAGTTTTTTAAACCAGTGCAGTGATATAAATGACTGAGTAGGTATTTATATCAAGCAAAATCTCTACTTATTCTTTAAAACCTGATAAAATAAAACAACATTTGGATCGGTAATAATAATATACTTACATAATATATATTTAAGATTGTTTTAGTTTACATTTAGAACATACTGTTGTTGAAGTGGTGTGAAAAATTTGTTTCAACTGTTTCATTAACAATTTATAATTTAATTTCTCCTTTAGCAAAGGACTATCCTTCAGTTTTGACAAGATTGCTTGTATTCTTGGTGATAAAGTAGTTGCTATATTTGCTTTTGCCGAACGAAGATTTTGGACTCTTTTATTTATGTTTCTCGTACCACGATTTCCCTGTCAGATATAACTTAGCATTAATTTTTTTTAACTTACCGTTGACAGACACAGCTATATTATGATCACGGTTTTAGCACATACTGTTGTAGTTCGACTCAACCTGAGAAGGACCAAGCTCTTACATAATACCAGCCCAAAATAGCAGCTAATAGCTGCTGTTTCTTGTGATGAGTGTAGAAAACCGAAGATCCTTTTTACGAGTCTTGAGATATTCTATCTTAGTCCTCAAGCGTGACAATGCACCAACATTTAAATTTGAATCGAGGTCTATGGACCACAGCATCCACATACCATCAGACGAACGGTGTGATCGTTTGTCATCCTGATCTATACAAATAAATAAAATTGAAGTGTCTGTTTGTAATGTTGAAATAACAGCTTTTTACTAAATGCATATGAAAGTATATATGGTACTAATAAAAAAAACATTTTTTTAAATTTTTGTCTGTCTGTCTGTCTGCTTGTTTCGGCTTATCTCCGAAACGGCTGTACCGATTTTGACGGGACTTTCACTGGCAGATAGCTGATGTTATAAGGAGTAAGTTAGGACACCTTTATTTTAGAAAAATAATTAGGGTACGGCGAAAAAAATTAAAACCCATGAAATCGTAGTAAATTCCACGTGGGCGAAGTCGCGAGAGACTGCTAGTTTTATTAAATAAAATTAAAACAAAAATGTACGTTTGGAAAATATTACTGCATCTGTACCTACATTTTCTGGCGTCAAACAGCCGTGAGTTCGCTATCGTATTTCGGTTAAAAAAGGTAAGAGAACAAGCTGTGAGACATGTCATCCTACTCTTCAAAGATGACTAATTGCATAGTCATCTTTGGCCCTATTTAAATATAGTATTTGCAGGTTACCAAGCACTGCAATAGCCGCCATTACAGTAATATTACAAAAAATTCTGAAGAAAGGCATAAAATATGTTGTGTTTTGAAGTTAAATGAAACGCTTATAATATATAAGACTGTTATGTAAGTTTTACGAGGTGCATTAATATGGCGAATGTTGGCTTGTCAAGCGGTACATAAATTTTCTTCGTGGCACATGAACTTTTAAAAATTTAGATTGGGAATCTTCTTTTGAAGCACGAGCAGCACATACCGTACACTGAAAGAATGAAATAGCCTTGTTTATATAAATTAACGCGAAATGAATATAACAAGCAATCTCTAGTTTGATTCCCTTTACTGATGAATAAAACATTTTTTTTACTTTTAACATTTGACGTGCACAAGCCAACCAAAATCACTGCTAAATTGATATAACAACACAATACAAACGTGATGGATTGCCTATTAAATACGATTATGAGTAAAACGTAAAGTCCAAGTTGGACTGTACAACATAAATACGTCGCACTCCTACGCACAACATAAGTCTCCTATAAATTTTTTTTACAATTATGGAGTAATTAGTCCTTTTTGCACATTTCACATGTCCTCGAAATATTATATTTCTTAAGCATGCATTTATTTTTTCCCTCACTGACTAACATGTGGCAAACAATTTCAGTGATATCAGCGGGGCATGAACTTTAATTGCTCGTACTATAAGATCTTAATGCTCAACTAAGAGTACACATGAGCAGCTTGCTTATATTATACCCTAAGATGCTCAGACTCTACCTTAAGCTACAACGGCTTAAATCAATATCATCACTTTTTTCGTAATATTTTAATTAAATACATCAAAATACTTTATCCACAATCAATTAATTTAATGCAAAGAATAAACATAAGTTCCATTGTGAACACTCCTTGGTGTGAATAATTTGGCCACTCGAGATTTGATTTGGTTAATCTTAGTTTTGAAGCTCTTCATGAATTTTTTAATTTTGTTTTGAAAGATTTTTAGTGGGCTTAGTGATTCCTTTTCATTTTTAGCTTTCGTTGATTTGCGATTCATTTCCTAATAACAATTGAATATCGTATAATATACCAAACGATTTTAAGTAAGGTCATTCACTATATTTATGCACTATTTATATTTTACTAGATGGTGGTCCTTTCGGCCTAGAAATCCATCTGAGGAGGTATCACCTTACTTATTCCTGCCTAGGGATGGGCATGTGAAAAAAATATATCGATATTTGTCATATGAATATTTCAAGTGTCGAACAGTATCAATAATAATCACGTGATAAATATCGATATATCATCATGTTTTGCATAATGTAGTAAGATGAGGGCCAAAATTTTATTACTGGACGGTTTGACGACGAAAACAACACATAATGTTTTTGTAGTTGCTTTTGTTGATTAATTTTTGTCTATTAAAGTATAAAATAAATATAATATTTTAAAATATATCAAAATTGATACGAATTCAATACAAAAAATATCAAAATATCGAACATCGATATATTGCCATTAAAAATATCGACAATAAATATCGATAATATTGTGAGATAATATCGATGTTTCGATATACCGATATTTTACCTATTAATTCGCTGTAGGTCTATATCCCAATGGAGCCTAGAAGTATAGTCCTCAGTGGCTCAAACCATCAAAATGCGTTGGACTTTTGGACTAAGATAGAAACCTCGTTTCCAGAAAAGGGTCTCCAGTTCGAAATTCAGCAGCATTGTGGAGAGCATGTTACTTCCACAGTCGAGCCGAACTATTTGTGCCACAACCATGATATAACTGCAGCATACCACATCTAATAAGTTATAATGGGAATATAATAAATATATAAATAATAATAGGTATTGACTATTGTTAAATCGCCCATCACAGAAATAAACTAAACAGGAGTACAATAACAACTTACACCATTCGCCAAGTAGATGCAAAGCAGTATAACTGTTAAATTAATGAATATAACTGTAAGATATTTCATATTGTCAGTTATGCACCAAGGTACTTTTAAATTATGTAGTTCGAATAAAATGTTTTGTAGTCTCGTTCCTTTTATTGCAAATAAGAAAATTATTGCGAAATTTTTATTACACACGGCAAGTACTTTTTCTATTGTTTTAAATTTAATCTGTAGAATTGTTTTGCATCAAGTACTTGACGAGCAGTTTTGTTTGCTATTCCACTAGGGTACTTAAACGACAAATCAAATGGAATTTACCTTTACGGTATTCCATGTAAAGAAAGAACACTGATCATTGAATAAGAGTGTTTCGTGTAAATACCTACTTTTCATAAATATTTTTGTTAACCTAATGATTATTTTAGTATTGCTGTTTCACGAATACGAATAATACTAATTTTTAAGTAAATCATAAAAATACACTAGCTGGACAGGCAGACTGTTCTGGCCTTTTCGACGACCCTTGGTCTTTTAAAAAGCCTTTAAATTCGCAATAAAGAATATTGAGTGTCGCTTACCGGAATAATAATTATTCTATATCTCAAGTTGGAGTAAGCAATACACATTTACAAAATTTCATTAAAATCGAGTGAGTGGTTTCAAACAAACAATGTGACACGTAATTTTTATATATTATTAGGTCCTTACATATGAAATTAGCGTTTTGTCGTACTGACCAATTTGATCTGAAAAATCTCCTCTATTGTTAATTAAAATTTATAAATTCATAAATGAAAGCTGTATAATGTGTATAAATTCATAAGCTGGTACATTAATTTGAGTTTTGAAAACAGTCATTCATTTCTTTTTTCAGCATTATTTTTTTCTTTGGTGTCGCTTATTACCGCACAATGGAAAACATGAAATATCGGTATATTTACGAGTACGAGTTCTACCGTGGCACCAGTGCTGCAGAAACAGCTTGAAGTATTAACGATGTGTACGGCGCTGGTGTCGTAAAAGAAAGCACGGTACGTTTTTGGTTTCAACGTTTTCCTTCTGGAAATTTCGATCTTCAGAAACAACCCCGTGGACGGCCGGAGACCAAAGTGGAAAATGAAGAATTAAAGGCTATTGTGGAAGCGGATCCATCACAAAGCACTTCAGAGATAGCTGCAGGCTTCGGGGTAAGTGATAAAACTGTATTAATCCACTTGGAGCAAATCGGGAAAGTAAAAACACTTGAACGATGGGTAACCCATGAATTGAGTGAATCGAATTTGCAAACACGCGTCGACTGCTGTGTTACTTTGCTCAACCGACTCAATAATGAAGGGATTTTAAATCGAATCATTACTTGTGATGAAAAGTGGATACTGTACGATAATCGGAAGCGCTCGTCGCAATGACTGAACCCTGGAGACCCAGCCAAATCCTGCCCTAAACGAAAATAGACTCAGAAAAACTTACTTGTGAGTGTTTGGTGGACTAGCGCCGGTGTCGTTCACTATAGCTTTCTAAAATCTGGCCAAACGATTACAGCAGATATCTATTGTCATCACCTGCAAACCATGAAGGAAGAACTAGCTGCTAAACAACTGAGATTGTTCAATCGCTCTAGGCCACTGCTGCTTCACGACAACGCAAGACTGCACACTGCACAACAAACAACTACTAAGTTAGATGAGCTACAATTGAAATGTCTGCGATATCCACCGTACTCCCCGGACCTTGCTCCAACAGATTACCATTTTTTCCAGAATTTGGACAGCTTCTTACAAGGAAAAAAATTCAATTCCTATGCGGCAGTCCAAAACGCCTTCAAAGAGTTTATTGATTCTCGCCCCCATGGTTTTTTAGTAAAGGGATCAATGAACTACCTATGAGATAGCAAAAGTTCATACGCTGCATACTTTGATTAATTAAATATATTTTACAAAAAAAAATTGACTTTATATTCCTCTCGCACAAAACGCCAATTTCATATGTTAGGACCTAATATAAAGATGTGAAAACCATCATGCCAATTTTAAAGATCGTTATTTCACATACCGCCATGGATGGTTTATATATTGATCTTTTATATCTTATACGTTGTAGAGTCATGCTGCAGCTATATCATTAGTATGTGCAGTTGTAGTACGAAAGGGTCCGTTCGTCCGGGGAAGGACCACGCTCTCACAGAATACCGACGTAAAATAGCAGCTAAACACAGCAGTGTTTCGTATGATGAGTGTGAAGAACCATAGACCCCTCTTACAGGAAACGAGGAATTCTATCTTAGCCCTCACGAGTGAGGGCTAAGATAGAATGCCTCATAGAATGCCTCGAAACGCATCTGCATTTTGATTCGTAGTTGAGAATGGATGTAGATGTCTATAGGCTACAGCAACTACTTACCATCAGGTGGTGTGTGCTCGTTTGTCACCATTATCATGTTAAAAAATTTTGTGCAACTTTTTGACGAGATGTGCAATCATTTTGCTATCCTAAACTATCACAGAAAAAAGATCCCATGATCTTACGGGTGGAAGGTCTTGCATTAAAACATGACGATCTTTCCTAAGTCATAGAGTGTAATTTAATTTCAGTATCATCCACCATCTCTGTTTGTGAGGATAACGACGTAGATTTCTTTTAACGAAATTGATATAATTAGCTATACTAGATATGAATACAGCGCGTACGCTGCCACAGTTTCAACATCCGTTGTGTTGCAAACGCAAGCAACCTAGTATGAGCGTCGCGATTAATTACGCGTATAGAGCATTGTGTGGGCAGAGAGTGCAACATCTCGGCAGCGCGCGGAGGAAAGCGGTGGGCAGCGCGAGGAGCATAGCGTGGCGGAGCCATAAGACCTATCTGTTGGCAGGCACTATTGACAGTATTAAGCTTATTGTTGGGGTACTCCACCGATTCTGCCATAATTACTATATATTATGTAGTCGGTAAATCGAAGGTGTGTGATGTGGTCGCCTTTGATGTTGATATCACAACCTTTATATTTTTAAAAACAAAGCCATGTCGGAAGCAAAAAAGAAGAGACGGCAATATAGTGCAGAATATATTAAATATGGATCCTGCAACAACGACGACTTACTTGTCTACTGCCAACATTTGGAAAATCTCTAAAGTGATTTCATTGAAAGCTTTCAGAACATTTTGAAATTGGTAATACCAGACTGGGTGTTAGATCCTTTTTCAAATGTCAAAATAGCAGTATCACCACAACTGGAAGAAGAACTTATAGCACTGACAACAAACAAGGAAATAAAAATCAAATTCAAAAATGACTACCAAGAATTTTGGCGTCACGTGAAATGTTGCGGGTCATGTTGCGGGACAAAATGTATCTTAATGTATACGAGGCTTAATATTCACGAGACGCGTCACGTAAACGTCAGATATTGTATCGTAAATAAAATCTTCCACGAATAATCACACAAGAATCATTGGCTTTAAATAATTTTAAATTTCATAAATAAATCCGTAAAAAAATACAAATCTATGTATATATTTTTTTTAAACGTTACCTCCACAATAGGATGTATCGCAGGGACAATTTACATACATAGATTTCACAAGGACAAACATCCAGAGCAGAACAATTATTTGTAGGCCATACAAATACTTGTTCCGTACGGGATTCGAACCCGCGGCCCTTAGCGCCAACTCCTTGCTAAGCCACTGCGCCACGTAGCCGTCCCGGCTTATCGATTTATCCGCCGTAAGTTTTTTACTTTTTAAAATATTGGCAAATTAAATCCTTATTCTGCCACAGGACACAACACTAAGACCGAATGTTTGAAATATATATCAAAATGTTCTAGAGTTAATAAAATAAAACTGCTATAACTCTTATATGTTATATATACTTCTTAACAATAGTCACGCATCAGCGAAATTCAACGGAATGCACGTGGTTATTTCGTGAACTCCTTGCAGCGTATTATTGGAAGGGTTCAGACAGTTGTTCAAACACTCGTCGCGTGTTTGAAAGTTATTCTGGTTACCTCCACAGCCCGAGTACATATACCGTTTACAGTTCCTGCGAAGAAATGAAAACAGATTAGAACGATTGAACACATTCATATTGTTAAAACGTCAAAGAAACTAACAATACACTGTCTGATTTTTTTCAATCTTGAGCCGAAGAAAACAGAAGGTGTTGTGCTTTTTAGTAGTGATATATTTATTAAACGGTCAGTAGTCCCAATGTTTTCTAAATTATTGATATCAAATAACAATTAATTAATAAAAAAAATAACAAGGGATTAACAAAGATATCGTAGATTATGAATTACATATTTTTTTATAGGATAATGGTGATAAACGAACACACAGTCCACCTGATGGCAAGTGGTTGCTGTGGCCCATAGACATCCACATCTATCGTCAATAAAAAATCTAAATGCAGATGCGTTGTCACCATTGAGGGAAGATAGAATGCCTCTTTTCGAGTAAAAAGGGTCTCCGGTTCTCTACACTCACCATACGAAACACAGCAGTGTTAAGCCTCCATTTAACGCTGGCATTCTGTGAGAGCGTGGTCCTTCCCCGGTCGAGCCGACCCATCCGTGCTACAACTATACTTCTAATATAGCTGCAGCATGGCTCTACCACGTATATCCTTGTTAAAGCGAATGAGAGTAAGTGACATGCTTAGTTTCAGTTTTTAGGGTCAATTTATAATACTTCTCGGCATCAACAGATGTATACGAAAGATTCTCGGGTAGTATTGTATTGCCATTCATAATGGATGCCGATTCTGCATTAGAAATAAGGCGCGCGGGTTTTCTATAGACTCCCAGGACCGTACCAAATTTTGTAATCATCTACAGCGACTTTATGTCCCATGGTCAGGCACTCGATATCAGGAAGATGGCGCTGCCCATCTTTTGTTTCATTTACTTCCGTCGCCTCTTACAACTTAAAAAACTGCGGTTGCCAACTCGCCTAGAGCGTTCTTAAACCTATGAAAATAACCCGATTCTCTATTAAATATCCCATTGAAGAGGTCTATATTGACCAGTGAACTTTTGATAGGCTGACATATTAACTGATTTTTTTTAGCATGAGAAATTTGTAATATTTTGCAATAAAAATTGTTTATGTTTATTTTTTATTGTTCATTTGACACAAGCCAACTCTGGATTTTGACATTGACAGCCATTTTATCCTACTACTTTGTCCATATACTTCATTAGACTGATTGATTGATTGGTTGATGGCAAGGGCGACACCATTGCACTGAAATGCTGATCCCTATGACTAGACTTTAGGATTTTGATTCAGCATTTACTGTTTGGTCATACTGCCGTTTGTTATATTATATCATTTGTCATATGTATCGAGCAGGGTGCAAACTTTTTTACGCAGTCGGGTTTTTTAAGTTACTGTTTTCACCGTTGGGCTTGTTATACTTAATCGAGTACTGACGCAGGTGCATCCATAGACAAAATATGCGCCAAAGGTAGCACTTACTATCAAGTAAATTGTGCCCTCTTTTGTAAATACGAGTATTATTTTTTAATTTGGTAGCGTACTATTATTTTTTTACTTTGCATATACTGTATCTTTGACCACCAGGTACTAATTACATACTAATCAGCTTGAGAAATATATTCCGACACATATTATAGCATTGCGAATTAAATTCAGCTTCTCAATATCTCAATCACCATAGGAGGCCCGTGAACAGCAGTACAACATTAATATATATTACCTTACTTTAGCTTTATTTATAAATAAGAAATCAAGACTAGACTCAGCAATTGGTATGCCAATCGATGAGCATAAAACCATCCAACATTTCCCTAAATTAATTAATAGATTTATTGTTAATACTTACTTTGTAAGTTTATCCCAAGCCCATCGATAGAACGAGCCGAAGCAAGTACCATAGTTAAATGATAAGGAACAATAATGAGGTATCCCCGCTGAAAAAGAAAATAATGTGATTAAAAAGAAGATTCATCAACAATAATAAAGGCAGGCAATATTAAGCAGGTAATTGCTTGTTAAATATTTCACGAAATTTATTGAAGTAATGAATTATCTGTTTGTCGAATAAATTTAATTTACAAACTTTTATAAACACAGGTGTCAGACTTATGCCATTTCATAATTATCATTGAGATATTGCTTTAGGAAATAATTGGCTATTTCGTATTATCTGTATTATTCTCTGTACTGTAGAAATATTGGTAGTCTGGAAGAAATTGCTCTCTTCAATAAAACCACCCATTGTATATTTACTTCCTTTGTAGGTGTGGTAGAGCCATGCTGCAGTTATATCATAGTTGTAGCACGAATGGGTGGGCTCGGCCAGGGCAGGACCATGCTGTCACAGAATATCAGTGTAGTGTAAAATGGCAGCAGCATAATACTGCTGTGTTTCTTATGGTGAGTGTAGAGAACCGGAGACGCTTTTTAGTCGAAACGACATACTCTACCTTGTCCTTCTCAGAGATGAGAGGAGACTTTGCCCAGTAGTGTGACTAATATATATATACAGGGTTATTTTTCAATGACCAGCCAAATTTAATAATTGAGTTCAAAGTATAAATATTGACATACACTTTTTGCAGTTTTGAAAAATATGCGTAAATAAAGTTTCTACATTTATTTGAAAATATCCGAAATTGAATGATTTATGGCATAAATAGTGGAGTAGCGTGCCTTAGAGGGGCTATGTATCAAAAATTGTCGAGGGGCCCAAATGAAGGGTAAAGATTTTTCACAAAAGGAACAAAAACTCTCGCATTGAATTTAAATTATTATATATTGTGTATTATTTTTGTTGTTACTGTTAACAGCAATATTGTGCGCTTAGTAATTATAAAATAATAAATATAGTAGATACTTTTAAAGCATTTATAATTTATATGTAATCACTCTATAGGAAATTTAAAAAAAAACAAACAAGTTTTATTTAATATTAGACACATTTATACATTGTATTTTGTGCATTTTATTTTTGCGGTAGAAGAGCAGTTTTCTAGCCTGCATTTCCTACCATTGTCAGATCATCTAAAACAGGCAAATGGCCAACTTGGTCAAAACGTTTATCGAAAGATGGCGGTAATGCTGATCTGTATTCTGTACCTCTTGTAAATCCTTTTCGCAGATTATGCGGGCTCTTTATTCGCCGTAATATCGTGAGAAGTAACCGTGCAGCAGTCCATAAGAGCATCGGCTAAATCATCTCTGAACCATAGCAAATCTTTGGTCTTGACTTTTTTCGTGTCACAGACCATCTCCAAGCTTTTACAACTGCAAGGTCTAAAAAATGAATTAGTACGTTTACTTTCCATTTCTTTGTTTTCTTGTATTAAAATACATACATACATATAATCACGCCTCTTTCCCGTAGGGGTAGGCAGACACCACTTCTTCCCACTTGCTACGATCCTCACATACTTGTATCGCTTCGTCCACTTTCATTATTCCCTTCATACATGCTCTTCGGTTCAGGGTACTCTTGACCTGGCCTTTTTTCAAGACGTCTCTGATTTGGTCTTGAAACGTCCGCCTAGGTCTACCCCTTCCAACACTTTCATTCACACTCGCCTTATACACTTTTTTCGTCAATCGTTCTCCATTCATTCTCTCGACATGGCCAAACCATCTCAGCATACCTTTCTCAATTTTTGTCCCTACATCTTCTTTCAGACCACAACATTTCCTTATCTCACTATTTTTTATCCTGTCACTCACTTTAACTCCTATCATACTTTTTAACACTCTCATCTCAACTGCATTTATTCTGCTTTCATGTTTCTTCTGCCACACCCAACTTTCACTTCCGTACATGAGTGTCGTAACTAACACCCCCTCATGCACAGCCAAACGAGCTTTATTAGACACCTTCCGACTGCTCATAAAGGAGTGCAAAGTTCCATTCACCATGTTTCCTGCATTCACTCTTCTTTCAATATCACTCTCACAATTTCCATCTCTTGTAAACTTTGAACCCAAATACACAAACTCCTTCACCTGTTCAATTTGTTCATCCCCAATCACGATATTGCAGTCTGTCACTGCCTCATCTCTTTCAAACACCATCACTTTCGTCTTCCTTACATTCATCTTCATTCCCTTTCTAACAAAAGCTCCACTCATAGCAGTTACCATCTCCTGCAACTCCTCGGCCGAAGACGCAAGTAATACTTGGTCATCAGCATAGAGAAAACATTTGACGAGTAACTCATGCATTCTCAACCCGCTTTCATTCTCTTTTAAATCTGTCAAGCTTGTCCATGAACAGATTAAACAGCCACGGTGACGCTACAGATCCTTCTCTAACACCTTTTTCGATATTAAACCATTCAGTGTATGCCCGTTTATCCTTACACAAGCACTAGAATCCCTATAAAGAGATTGTAATGCTCGAATGAGTATACTGCTCACACCGTTCACGGACAGTGCCAACCACAATTCATTCCTCACCACTCTATCATAGGCCTTTTCTAGATCCACGAACGCGCAATAAACCTTCTTGTTTTTAGCCAAACACTTTTCGGTCATGCACCGCAAGGAAAAAACCTGATCCGTACATCCCATTCCCTTTCTAAATCCCGCTTGTGCATCTCATACTTTTTCGTCTGTTTCATTCACAACTTTTTCAATTAACACTTTCGCATACAATTTACCGACGACGCTGAGAAGGCTTATACCGCGGTAATTTATGCAATGTATTAAAATATCTATCAAAATACAAGCAGCTATTTGAAGAAGCATTTTTTATAGGATAAGGGTGACAAAGGAGCACACAGTCCACCTGATGGTAAGTGGTCTATATGCGGACCATAGACATCTACATCTATCCTCTATTAGAAATCAAAATGCAGATGCGTTGTCACCCGTGAGGACTAAGATGGAATGCCTCATTTCCAGTAAATAGGGTCTCTGATTCTCTACACTCACCTTACGAAACACAGCAGCTTTAAGCTGCTGTTTTACGCTGGTATTCTGTGAGAGCGTGGTCCTTCCCCGGTGGAGCCGACCCATTCGTGCTACAACTAAACTACTAATATGCAGCATGCCTCTACCACGTAAAAATTCTTTGCATTATTTGCTAGACACAGGAAAGCAGCAGGGCCTAGTAAAGGCAGGATTGTTAGGATAGTATATTTCGAAATCTAGCATTAGCCCACTACTTGTTGTGATAACGGAATTCTTAACTCCAAGCGGCCTAGGTTTAACTAAGACTCGTAGCTTTCATTTACCCGTAAAGGGTATAATTTGTTCGTCAAATGAGTTTGTGCCAGGAATCCTTTCATTAACTCTACAAGCATTTTTGACAGCATCAAGAACCGGTTGTAATTTTTAATTACGAGATTTAAAAAAAAACTATCATGATATCTTTCAAAATACTATGATGGAGTCTTCACTTCCTGCCCTCCTAGCCGAGAAGAATACTCATTGGGTACGTCATTAAATGTAGTGGCTTTCCAAATTCTTGTTCTTTTATTTTGTGATATACGGCGATTGTTGATTCCAATGGAGTTTTTGTTTGCAAGTGGTATGTTTTTCTAATCGTCTCACATTGTAGTAACTAAGCACTCAGCTAATTGGACATTTATGTCCGAGTCACTGTCGCTCCCTTTGTCACTAGGTATCTCTTGTACAGAATCTCCAAACAAGTGTCGGGGAACAGGAACAGGTGATTTCACCTCCTCTTCGAATATGTCAAGATCCAATTGGTACCCATCTCCGATCAAATCTTGCAACTAATCGTCGTCTTAAAGCCCTGTTGAAAATATTACAAATGTTAATTATATGAGTTTTACGTCTTTTAGTTACAAATGAAAACGACAACGCAGGATCGTGCGTTTTAATATTGTGGACCTGTTACGAAGTCTAATATTTTTAATTTCAAATATATTTGTAAATAAATATTTAAATATAATTGATACAACTTTAAACTTGAATAAAATATACTTACTACTTACGTCGACCGTTGCCGTCCCATGTCCATCTTGAACACTCATAGACACCTCACTACCTTCTCCGAGCCCGGCGATGCATTTTACACTGTGTAGTTAAATTAACGCACAATCCATTGAAACCGTATGGGGACAGTAAAACGAAATTCCACGTGCGTTAGATTTTTTTATGATAATGCACGCTTGGTACAGTTCGGTCTGAAAGGGATAAAGGATAATATGTTTCAATTTTTTCTTGTTTATTTTTTTTTCACCATTCGCTTATGTTATCTATTCTGAACCTCCTCTGGAAATTTGGCCGGTTAATGCAAAATAACCCTGTATATATATAATATACTGTAACTTGTTTAAAATCAAATACTTACATGCAGGAAAAGAGGTGTTGAGTTTACAATAATCTATGCACTGTTTTTGACTTTCAAATCTATTTCCATTACCCTGACATCCACCCCAAAAGAACTGGTAACATCTGCCTTGCTTCACGTCATAGTACCACTGGATTATATCTGCTCTGCATGGGCCTGTATCTGGTCGTAGGAAGCAGGATTTGTGGCGTGCTGCAAAAATGAAAGGCAACCCAAAGTAAGTTAAAAGCATATGTTCTATGACAAATGGCATTTTGGAAATGGTGTTATATTATATTACATAATATATATTATAATACATATGAGATTTTAGACTTTTTCATTCATATTTTATGTCTTAAAATTATGTTATATATATATATATATATATATATATATATATATATATATATATTACTAATCTTACGAATACGATATACGATAATGTTGACTGTTACTCAAATTTCGTAAAATGTTATCAGAATGTTATTACAATAAATACTTCTTAATAATGACCTTCACACGTAGGCTTCGAAGCGCGCTGTTCCGAGTGATTTTTCGAACCGCGCAAATGAAAGACTTGACGCATCTAAACACTATCACTGCAACATGTACTTGAAACTGCACATCTAAAGAATTTCAACAGTTTTGCGCGTAGTTCGGCGTGTTATGTAGGTCAACCTCCACTCTCCAAACTGAAATTTCATCCAGAGAAGCGTTTCCAACAATACCTAAGTTGTATGTGCGTACACGATGGATTGCCAAGTCCGATTGAGCACTTACTGGTTTTACTTAAACACACTCCGAAGCATACGTGTGAAGGCCATTTAAGAGTTCATTTACTTATTATCCAAAAACTTTTTAACAACAATAATTTAATATCTCTTTAGTTACAGTTAGCATAACAGCTGTTTTAGAGTATGTAAAATTTTTTTGCATGTATGTTTCTAAATGTTATTATTTTGCGATTTTATATGCACAAAACTCAGATCAATATAAAAGGTCTACCACCTTTATAAATGCTCTACCACCTTTCAATGTATTGTCAACTTGCATGCAAATAGTCTTCGTAGTATATTTTCCTGTTTTAGGGTATCTGTTATGATAGCGAAATTGTCTTTTTCTTTTATGCTTACAATTGGACAAACACAATAGAACTAATATTGTGATTAAAAACACATATTTATAGTGATATTTAAAAATATTTACAATTCCTGAATTAACCATAGCATAAAATAACCAATAGCTTGTTCAACTGCTATCAAAATTGGCAATTTTAGCAGTAATCATAAAGTTTTGCTATAAAAGTCAATAGTAAATGATTGGTGAAAATATATTACAAACATTAAAAATATACAATAAAATATTACTAACACTATAATCCTATAGCTTTAGAGTATACATAAGCAAGCTAGCTTATGTATACCCTGGGATTATAACTTTTACAACTTTTAACTAATATGTTTATTTTAAAATTAATTATTACAATGAAAACTAAAATAACACAATGGTTTTAGCATAAAATATGCATAATCATCTTTCAGCAAGCAAGATTTTCTATCTCTAGCTCAATTGGCAGCAGTTCAAGTCTACTTGATAGCCATTTCGGTAGAGACAAAATTATGTTATTTTTAGCATTCTTTATCTTTTCAGCATGATTTAGCTAGTTATAACTAAGATATACCCAGATATAAGTCATCTGAAAATTATCTCATCTTGAAAATGCAGATTTAAATTTCTGTTTCTGAATGTTTTACTAATTGGGTTTGTGGAACTACATTGTAACTGAAAATGTTACACCCGGTCTTAATAGACCCCGTAATATTTTTATCAAACTACCAATTTCACTTGATTTTGACAACCCAAATGTCGCAGGTCTGTCTCACGACATTACACTTACATCTAATGTGTCCCTTTTTGCATAGCTTCATTTGAGCAAACTATTTTATATAGACCCCTGAGACAGATGAAGCTATAGAAACCAAAACGCTAACAGCAAAAACATCTCACACTAAAAACAAATACAGTAAGGTGGTAGTCTTCCACACATATCTTTATTCATTCTACAGGCTAAGCACTCCTATTTTCCACCAATGACCAAAGCATGTTGCAGAAGTCAATGCAGTATTGCGCAAAAACAAAATATGTGTCGGCAATATATCAGGAAGTTAATTGTTAAAAATAACAATTGTTTCAGAGCTTATGTTCAACTTGCTTTCCCTTACACAATTAATTATTACCAGAAATAAAACAGCGTACTGTACATACTATACATTCAGCATACTATACATTCAGTAAAGAGCAATTACAGTTCGACCATAATGTAATATATCCCTTCACAATCACACAGTAATGTAACATGAGGGACGTAATTACATGATAACACCAAAGTATACAAACTAACAGCAACACTACACATCTCATACATGGCAGCCTCTCAGTAACACAATCTTTCTTGCCTGCTCTAGAAAAATTACTACAATGGAAAAAACCACTATACAGTCATTCTATGAGTCTTAGCACTCATAGAGTGACTTAGACACTATACAATGGAGTTTTATGCACGAGGTATACGAGAGTTTTCCCATCTACCCTAAATTCTAACACCCTACCATCAATATGACTCGCTCATTCTCAATCCAACTAGTATTTTATAGACATACTAGCTGCCCAGGTAGACGTTGTTCTGAACTTTTCGACGACCCTTCATAAAATAAATACTTAAATTTGTAATAAAAAAATATTGAGTGTCAATTATCAGGATAAAAACTATCCTACCTCTCAAGTTGGACCAAACTGCACAAAGTGTGCAAATTTCATTGAAATCAGTTCAGTATTTTCGGAGTTCATTGTGGACAAACAATGTGACACATAATTTTTATATATAAAGATTATATAAATACTACTTATGGTTAGCTGTGTAGTGGCGGTTAAGAATATCCACTACCCCATATATTCCCGTGGGTGCCGTAAAAGGCGACAAAGGGAAACAGGCAGGAGATGGGCAGCATCATCTTCCTGATAACAACAAACTTACAATAAAAAAAAACTGCGGTTGCCAACCCGCTCGTCAAGCGTGGCAACTATGGCAAATACCCCCCCTATGACGAGAGTAACAAACCCCGCTATTCCTGGCTACGGTCGCGACCATGGTAACGGCGGTTCTTTCACCGGCAGGGCGACCATCTATCCCAAGGAGGTGTCGGATTTATCGTCCACAAGTCTCTCGTTAACAATGTTGTAAAGATTGAGAGTGTATCGACGAGGGTTTCGTACCTTATACTCAGAATCACCAAACATTATTCGCTGAAGGTCATACAGGTTTACGCACCAACCTCGGCACATCCCGATGAGGAGGTGGAGGAAATGTATGAGGATATCTTTCGAGCCATGGATTCCTCCAAAACCCACTATACGGTGTTAATGGGAGACTTCAATGCAAAACTAGACACAAGAGAGAATGGTGAGCTGAAAGTAGGGAAATTTGGAATAGGGCAACGGAACCCAAGGGGCTAGCAGCTGGCCGACTTCATGAGAGAAAGAGGGACTCTTTATGATGAACTCTTTCTTCCAGAAGCGGCCCCACATGAAGTGGACCTGTGGACGACCAGACGAAAATCTCCAAATGCATGCGGCGGGACTTACGCAACTTCAATACCGCTCGTATTGAAGAAGCGATTGAGCGGAACCAAGGCTCCAAAGTCTTTGCCAGAGATCTGTCTGCCAGAAAGCGCCAACTGTCAAAGCTGAAAACTGAGTGTGGCAGCATCGTTTCCAGGGCACCTGAGAATTTGAGTGACATTGAGAGTTTCTATGGGCAGCTGTACACGTCATTGTTGGAGCCACACGCAAGTGTAGGTAACAATCCAAGAGCGAGTCTTATCCGACACTATTCCGAAGTCATTACGAATCGTCTTGCACGCAGACTTGACGACTTCCAGAACAAGCCGGTTTCCGAAAGGACTTTAGCACCATAGACCACATACATACCCTTTGGCAAATTGTACAGAAGTCCGAGGAGTACAATTTTCCACTATGTCTGGCATATGTGGACTATGAAAAAGCCTTTGATTCCGTCGAAATTTGGGCGGTGCTGCAGTCCCTTCAGCAGTGCCAAGTTGACTGTCGGTATATCGAAGTGCTGAAGTGCTTGTACAGTAGGGCTACGATGACTATCCGAGTACAGAGCCAGAGTACGAAACTTATCCAATTGCAGAGAGGTGTAAAGACAGGGCGATGTTATATCCCCGAAACTCTTCACCGCTGCATTGGAAGACGTTTTCAAGCTTCTGGACTGGAAAGGATACGGTATTAACATCAATGGCGAGTACATCACTCACCTTCGATTTGCCGACGATATAGTCCTTATGGCAGAATCGCTGAAGGACCTAAGCACCATGCTCAACGACCTCAATAGTGTCTCCCAATGAATAGATCTTGGGATGAATATGGACAAAACAAAGATCATGTTTAATGTCCATGTCACACCTATGCCGGTAGTTGTTGGGAGCACTAAGCTCAAAGTTATTGATGAGTATGTTTACCTGGGACAAATAGTCCGACTAGGTAAGTCCAACTTCGACCGAGAGATCAATCGACGGATTCAACTCGGCTGGGCAGCGTTAGGGAAACTACGACACATCTTCTCGTCAGACATACCTCAAAACCTTAAAACGAAATTGTACAACCAGTGCGTGTTGCCAGTGATGAATTACGGATCTGAGACGTGGTCCTTCACTGCTCGCCTTATGAGGAAGCTCAAGGTAGCTCAGCGAGCTATGGAGAGGGCTATGCTCGGGGTTTCTCTGCGTGATAAACTTAGAAATGAGGATATCCGCAGTAGAACCAGAGTAATCGACATAGCCCAATGAATTAGTAAGCTGAAGTGGCAGTGGGCCGGCCATATAGCTTGAAGAACCGACAACCGATGGGGAAGAAAGGTTCTTGAGTGGCAGCCTCGTACCAGTAGGTGAAGTGTAGGGCGACCCCCCATGAGATGGAGTGACAACTTGGTAAGACATGCAGAAAGTCGTTGGATGCAGGTGGCTCAGGACCGTGTTTTGTGGCATTCCTTGTGGGAGGCCTATGTTCAGCAGTGGACTTGTGAAAGGCTGTAATGATGATGATGACTTAAGGTTCTGTTAAATTACAAGTTCCTTCATGAATTAGTTAGTTGTCTCGAAAGTTACTTTTTGTGCAGTAATATTTTTTGTTTGCTTTAAAATATAGAGTTTAAATGTTATGCATGAACACTGCATTGTTGTTTACTTAATAATTTCCATTGTGGTCTTAAAGTTGTGAATTGTTAAAGCAAAAATAATAAGTGAAGATGTGATAAGTTATAAGACAGTGTAAAATTGATTTAATAAGTTTAAACATTACAAGCTCGAAGATGAACCATGGTCCAGTTATCTATGTGTTACATGATAATAGATTGCTTCAGCTTGTTGAAGAGAATCCAGAACTGAATACAGGAGAGAGTGGACACCTGTAGACAAGTTTCAATATGTAAATTTTTTAAGGTCTGATAAATCTCTCACAATGCTGCAATACACAATAATGATCAACCTTGTAGTGATAGTTTAAGAGCATCCACTACATTTTACATGTAAGAGACAAAGGAGAACTGAAACAGGAGTTGGGCAGCATAACTCAAAACAATTAAAAAAAAACAGTGACCAACACACCTGCCAAATGTAGCAACTATGGGAAAATCTTCCCTATAAAATAATCTATAGGGAAGGCTTATGCTCAGCAGTGGACTTTTATAACCTGTAATGGAAGGATAGATGGATGGAATCAATATATAATATATTAACGAGAACATATCCCATTTTCCTTTTTATTCAATGTATCTTATTAGAAAAGAAGAATAAATCCTTATTTTACACTATATTGTTTGCATAATACTTTGTCAATGTACATTGTTATGCAAGTTTGACATGGTTCAGTTAATTATTTAGTAAAGGCTTTCTTAACGATTTTTACATATTAATAGAGCTGATAATATACTATGGTATGGCTGATCTACATGCTACCACACTATAGATGTTTTAGGAAAAAAGTGGCCGTGTCTGGAACAAAGAGTATTTTTCTCCACGATCAAAGCATATTTAGTCATTAGTTTTTTTTTTTTTTGCAGAACATGAGCACCTACCTCTTTGAACTAATCCAAGATAAAAAATAATTATTTAGTCGTCGTTAACCTATTGAACTGACTCGGCATTCCGTTTCTGTGTTAATTTAACATCTGAGACTCTAAATAATGAGCACTTAATGAATGTGTGCAGAACTATTAGTTTCAGGTGTTTAAATACTCTGCGTTTAGATGGTTGGCATCTTTGAAATGGATTTTGGTATGGACTGAAAAGTTTAAACATTTTAAATAACACATACACATCACAAGACTTTTATTAGTTTATTACACAGAACACTAATACCTACCGGTTTATTACTCCTATGGAGAATCGGATCGGAGATTTTAAATTTAAATGTCAATGTCATGTTATCATAATCATAGACAAATAAGTATGTATGTAGCAAGATTTTAATTTTTTGGCTTGAATGCTTATTCTTTAAGCCATGTCGTCAGTAGTTTAGTGCACGAAACTGAATGACTTCAAAAACTGACTGAATTTTTAACATGATATTCCAAAATTATTCAAAATTATTCATATAGCATGTTCCCGGGAATAAGCTGCACCTACCTGCGTTTTGTTGGATTTTAATTCAAAATGTATAAAATCCCAATAATCTCTGAAGAGGTGAGTCTACCGAATGAACTTAAACAATTTTCCCCATGAATAAGATCGGAAAGTAGTATTTTAGCAGCTAGTTTGTATTCCATAATACTAGAACCTAATGGACGGTTGATAATAAATTATTTGCGAAATTGTTTTTATTTTTATTTTGATACTTACTTACACAGTAAAACAAAAGCCTCGCGAATGATCTTCTTCTTCTTAATAACTGGCTTTACGGCTCTGGGTCAGAAGCTAGCCCTTCTGAGCCTGAAGTTACAATGTATAATAATTATCCTTCATAGTACACTGCTTCACAATATGCTGATGCGTCACATTGTGCAGCCCTTGGGAGATTTTGATGGCAATTTGAGCCAGCAGACAGCTGACAGTTGGCGATGGTATCTCAAGGCGCCTATGCAGACAGACATATCAAAGTCCACTTCAAAGCATTATTTAAACAATAATACAGGATCAGCAATCCGTCGCCGGTCAAGTACCCGCCAAAACCCCCTCGCGAATGAACCAACATTGAAACCTAGAGCAAAATTTGTTCTGTATTAACGAATAAAAACATAGATAGACCAACGCAGCATCGATCTTGGTTTTATATGTACGTCTAACGAGTAGGTTTTAATTGATATATTTATTTATTGCAAGGCATTATATTAATATCTTACATAAACACAATAGACGTTAGGGATAGGCCTGAGTATACCACATCAAGAACAGCAGAAAGGATTACAAGCAGCAGAAGGAAATTAAAAAAATATATAAAAATTAATAAATATATTAGGAAAGTGCAAAAGTTAGTTAAAACTAAAATTAATATTAAAAATTATACAAATGTATGTAAGGAAAAGCAAGAGTTAATTAGTAAAATTAAATTATATTCAATTGAGGTGGAAAACATGAAAAATTGTTATGAGACTGAAATAGAGTGTCTTAATTCAGAAATTTTATCACTTCAAACCTCATTACAAATTATGTCAAATAAATATCAATCTGCAGGGAATGAGATAAAAGAACACATACTGGCCATGGATAATCTGGTAAAGTCCTGCAAATATAACGAGGAACGTTTTGACTCCTTATTAAAATATCAAACTGAATATCAGCGCTCACTGCCAGGTTCTTTAGGGACAGTGTGTGTTAATAATATGACAAGCAGTAATACTTCATTTTCTTTACCTACACTCTATGATAGTACCATAACAAAGCAGATAAATTTAAAAAGTAATTCATATAATGAAAAAAATAATATAATTGTGTATAGTGATGACATAGGCAAAAACTTGGGTATATCATTGAATAACTGTTTAAAAAGGCAACAGATAAGTAATTACTGCATGCCTGGAGCATCATTCAGTGATATTATGAATAAAATTTTAACTAGTAAATTTAACCCTAATAGTATATTAATAATTTTTGTTGGGAGAAGAGGCAATATGAACAAGTATCAATTATTAAAATATATTGAATATCTCAATAACATAAATGTGGTTAAAGTTATTTTGTTTACATTGCCTTATATAGAGGGGTGGCCACAGGAAAATAAACTAAGACATAATTTAAATTTAATGATGCATAACTTGACATGTAACAATAACTTAAATTTGACATTTAATTGTAAGAATAATAATGATAAATTTCATTTAATTGATATTAATAATTTAACTAAGAAGTTTTTGACAAGAGATAGGTATTACCTATCAAAGTATAGTTTAAGACTGGTAGCAGATACGCTATCTTATTATTTATATTTTAACTCAGCCAATGATTTGGCTACCTTGACACCTGCTTCTTTTGAGCAACAAAATAATTTTACATTTGATTTGGAACCAGTTCCAAGTAATTTAAATTAGATAATAAGACAATAGAGGTAATCTCTAGCAAAGATAATTTAAATAGCTTAGAATGCAACTTACCAATACATAATTATGCAATTTTACAAAATAAAAATAATAAAAACTGTATCAACCTGGTGCATCAAAATATACAAGGTATGTTAGGCAAAGAATTAGAAATTGAATTATTTTTAAATAGTAACAGTATAAATATTTTATGTATTACAGAACATTGGTTGAAAGAATACAACTCCATATTTAATTTCAGTAATCACCAGGTGGTCAGTTCGTTCAATAGAGATACTAAATTACGTGGTGGCTCCTTAATATTAGCTAATAAGTCCTTATCATGTAAAGAACGTAAAGACATTGTGAGCCTCTCTGTTGAGCGTACTGTAGAAATGGCATGTGTTGAGCTTGAGCACCTTATTGTAGTCAGTGTTTACAGAGACCCCCATGTTCAAGTTATGATACTTTTGAAAAAATTATGGAAGAAGTTTTAGTTAAGCTTAATAAACAGAATAAATCTCTTGTAGTGTGTGGAGACTTTAATATCAATCTCCTGGAAACTTCTTCCATCAGTATTAAATTCTGTTCTTTGTTCAAATCCTATAATCTTAATAATTTATTCTTTGAAGCTACACGTATTGCAGGGTGTAGTGCAACTTGTATTGATAATATTTTTACAGGTGTTGTACCAATCAACAAATCAATAATTCAAAAACTTAGTTCAGATCACTGTAGACAACTGGTTTCGTTACCTTATATGCACAAAAAACAGGTAAATGAGAAAATTGTGTTTGTTCCTATTAATGCAAAACGCCTGGAGAGATTTAGAAGTAATATGTTAAAAATCCTTCCATCCCTTTCTTATAAGAACAATGCAGACTATTTATATAGAGAATTATTTACCTTTATAAACAATGAATTTAATAAAACATTCACTTCTAAAACATTCTCCAGAAACAGTCGCAAGGCATTTAATGAGTGGGCGACAGTAGGAATTCATAAAAGCAGACGAAGGTTATATGACTTTTACCATGAAAGATCGTATAATCTTTCCGATGCTTTTAAAGAATATGTAAAAAATTATTCTAAAATGTTTAAAAGAGTTTGCTCCACAGCCAAATCATTACATATTAGTAACAAAATTAAGACAGCTAAGAATAAAATTAAAATGACGTGGAGTATAATTAACAGCGAAACCGGTAATGAGAAACCTCGTAATTCAAACTATCAATTAAAAATTAATAATGAATTGACTAAATCAAATCAAGAAGTTGCAGCGGTGTTTGAGAAATATTTCACTGATGTTCCTATCTTGACAACAGAGTCATTGAATGCTTCTCCAACTGTCGCCGAATCATTACTTAAACAGAATGTTAATACCTGTTTAAAAGAATTTAGATTTGAAAAAGTATTACCGCATAATATTGTAAAATACTTCAAAACCATTGATGTAAAGAAAACCGCAGATTTGTGGGGGATTTCCGTTACAGTGATTACGTCCATAATAGATTTAATTGCACCTCATCTTGCTATAATTTTTAATACTTGTATCGATTCTGGTGTGTTTCCTGATTTAATGAAGTATAGTAAAGTAATACCTTTATTTAAATCTGGTAGTACATTGGACCCCGCTAATTATAGACCTATTTCTGTACTACCAACTCTCAGTAAAATTTTTGAAAAAATAATTTTGGATCAATTGTTAATTTTTTTTAATACAAATAAATTACTTCATAAAAATCAATTTGGTTTTACAAGGGGTCGCTCGATGTCTGACGCCGGTGTTGAGCTTATGAAATATATTTTTAATGCCTGGGAGAATTCACAAGATGCCTTAGGTATTTTCTGTGACCTTTCCAAGGCTTTCGATTGTGTTCATCATGATACATTAATCAGGAAACTACAACATTACGGTGTAAAAAATTTGGCGCTTAAACTTATTACTTCATATTTAAGTAACAGAACTCAAAAAGTCGTCATTAATGGTAAATGTTCCTCCGGATCGGTAGTATCAATGGGTGTTCCTCAGGGCTCGATTCTTGGCCCATTCCTGTTCTTAATCTATATTAATGACTTACCTTATCTTGTAGGGGACAATCATGATATAGTATTATTTGCTGACGATACCTCTTTAATTTTCAAACTGAAACGGCAGTCAATTAAATATGACGATGTAAATAATGCTCTATCGAAACTAGTACATTGGTTTAACGCCAACAATTTGCTCTTAAACGGCAATAAGACAAAATGTATTAAATTTACAATACCTAATGTAAAACATTCGAAAACCAATGTGCTCTTAAATGGGGAGGAGTTGAGTCTTGTGGATACCACTGTTTTTCTCGGTATTACTATTGACGCGAAACTTCAATGGGGCCCCCATATATCTAAATTAGCAAGCAGACTTAGTTCTGCAGCATATGCTGTAAGAAAGATTAGAAGTCTCACAGATGTTGAGACAGCTAGGTTAGTGTATTTTAGTTACTTTCATAGCGTAATGTCTTATGGAATTTTGCTATGGGGTAATGCGACTGATATTGAAGCTATATTTGTTTTGCAAAAGAGAGCCGTACGGGCGATTTATAATCTAAATTGTAAAGAGTCCCTTAGAGAAAAATTTAAAGAAATAAACATATTAACTTTGGCATCGCAATATATTTATGAAAATGTAATGTATGTACATAAAAACATAAATAGCTTTAATAAGAATAAGTATGTTCATACCTTAAACACTAGGAACAAACATAAGCTTGTAATGCCACTTACAAGACTCCACAGAATTAGTAATTCATTTATGGGGCAATGTATACGCTTTTACAACAGAATCCCAGAACATGTTCAAAGTTTGTCAATAAACAAGTTTAAAAGTTTTATTAAAGAAAAACTGTACAAAAAGGGTTATTATAATATCAAGGAATACATGAGTGAAAATAACCCCTGGGAATAAGGTGATCGCCACCATGCTGGTTCTATGAAAATTCATTTAAAATTGTATAATCAAAATTATTGTTAAGTGAAATTATGTTTAAAAAAAAAGTCCCGCTGGGTTTCTTGCTGGTTCTTCCCAGGACAGAGGTATTTTCCGAACCAGTGGTAAATAAAATAATGACTTTCAATAAGTATTATGTAATAATCCATATTGAATAAAAATCATTCTATTCTATTCTATTCTATTCTATAGATTTTTTTATCGATATATTTTATCACGCTATTTTATCTCTATTATTATTTCAAGTTTAAAGAAGTGGAAATTCCATTTTATATATAATAAATATAAATAAATCCAACGAAATTACAGTGGACCGTATTTTGTTATATTTAAATAGACTATTGAGACAACATATTTTATGGTTCATCAAGCTACGTTATATTGGTTTTTACTAGTTGAAGCATAGTAGGAGAGTGGCCATTCTTCTTTATTCACTAGGCTTAAAGAAGCGGATATTCCATTTTATAAATAATAAATATAAATGAATCCATGAATCGGAGGTCAAGGTTTTATATAAGTTTTATAGGGCACCTGCAACTTTACAAGGTACGAATGCTCGCGGCTTACGCTTCAAATGTGTTATAACCTGTGCTAGTGCCTAATACTTTGTATTGTGTGTTGTGTTTTGTTACGTTAATTTTTTTTGTTGAATTTGTTTATTTAAAATTTCGAAACGAACAAAAAAAATGTTTAGGGGCGTTCAGTGAGGCGAATTAATCATTTGCATCCGAGATTACTTAAAGTGAGAACTACAAAATGGCGAAATAAATATAAAATAATTTAATTCATTTTATTAATTTGATCACTTTCTCTATTATTTATTTATTTGTTTATTGTCGTACATGAATCGTGAGGTACATAAATTAAGTATATTAATTACTACTTAAATATAGTATTATCTTACTTATTTTTTGTCAAACTCAAGCTACGATTGTATTCGCTTGACAGTTTTACGTTCGATTGTGAGGCACATCACTAGTAATAAAATATCAACTAATAAGCATAGTATGTAACTGCGTGCGCAAGTGAAATAAATTACCCTTTTATAATTTTCTTAGTAAAAGAAACTACATTAGGTGAAATTTTTAAGTTAAAGTCAATCTAATAGCCATTACAAAATAGAAAAAATAATAAAAAGAAATTATATATTATCTATTGTATCTTATCTATTGTATCAAGATACATTGTAGTGAGTCATCCACACTATGCTACAACACAAAGACTATATACCTGAATATTATGTATCTGAGTACTGGCCTAGTTCACAGACTAATATGATTGCTTTCGCATAGTTCTAGCTATGGTTCACTAAGTCTATGATTGCCATGACCATAGGGTGGTGTTAACCATCAAGTCGTCTTTTTAGGTATATTCAGTACCAAATCGGTATATTTTTTACTTTTTACTAACTATGACCAACATATATTTATCATCATAGTAGTTTCATTCCGTTGTTTAGTGACAAACGAACTTCGTTCATTTTATATATATTATATCATGTATGGCTGCAGGCTCAGTGCAGTCACCGCCATACTGAGAATCACGGATGGTGGCAGCCATTTTATTTGTTTTTTTTTTTTGGAGTTTATGGCCTGGTATCTAGACCTTTAGGCCAAGTCTTAAGTATTTTTATTCGGTTTATTGTAATTTTCCCACTCCTTCATAGTATACTGCTTCACAATATGTTGATGCGTCACATTGTGCAGTTCTTGGGAGATTTTGGCGGCAACTTGATCCAGCAGACAGCTGATAGTTGGCGATGGTATCTAAAGGTGCCTATGCAAACAAACAACTTATCTTGAGAATCCATCACCATCAGAGCACTTGTTTCACTGTTTCCACTAATAGTTCACATGCGTAGACACTTAATACACAAAATCGCAACACTTTTACATATCAAAGTCCACTTCAAACCATTATTTAAACAATAATACAGGAGCAGCAAACCGCCGCCGGTCAATTTCCCGCCAAAACTCCTTTATTTGTTTTAATGTAAAGATAAATGTTGCCATTAACGTAAAATAGAAGATAATTTTTCTTTTCAAGTTAATACATAATATAAATCGTAACTATAACGCCATAATTTCTATTAAAATGTAACTGAAATTTACATGCATTGTAACTTCTAAAGAAATATTTTAAATTTTTTTCTCGATTGCAAATCTATAATTCTTGCTTTGATTTTTGTAATCATCTTTTTTAAGTCGATGTAATATTGTTCAATCTCTAGACACGCTAAACTGTAAGCTGTCACCCGCAAGTCTATTTCAGAGACAATCTCAAGTTTAAACTCAAACTCCACAATGCCAAATTGGAGTCAAGTCCTACACTCCACAAATTTCGAGTTGAGTTTAAACATGATATTGTTTTTAAATACCGTTCATTCCTTAGTGTCGTCCTTATGATACTTCAATACCCTGAGATGCTAACCAATATCTATGGATACTAGTATAAAAGTATAGATAAAGTATTCTCTATCTATGGATAAAAGGATAAACCTTCGAGCATAGTTTTCTATGCTCGAAGGGATAAACGGAAAAACTTTGACTTTGACAAACAATGCTGACAACTTTTACGACCCAATAATGTTGGAAATATGTAGCTTCAGATAATTTTATCGATTTATTGGTTCATCGATATAATCGTTATATAAAAAGCTATATGCTTCCTTATTACCATAATTTTTAAACAGTTTTACACATCGTAAACGTAGAAAGAATCTAATGTTTATAATACATTTATTTTTAATCTTAATCCGACGTAAACGACACGGTATTTCCCAAATATTCTATCGGCCCTTAAAAATAGGCGGTTTAAATTATTAATAGATTCCTTGAAACATAAAATCGAAAGATTATTCAGCGAAACGCCTAAGATTGACCTTTACTGTCACACAACAAGATTGTAAATAACCACCAATAAATCAATTTCGTAAAATAATCAAGGACGAATATTTTTCTATTCACTGTCAATTACTCAGCTTTCTTTTTGAATGGTCTTAAAGATTTGCTTAATCATTGATTTAAATTCTTGTATTTGCGTGGTGAATTTTTGTAAATCATTTGAAAAATAATTAGAATTATATCATTTACTAGTTGTTAGGACCCCTTTTGTAACTATGAGGCTGTCTAGGTAGGTACCACCCTTTTATCTAATTCTGCCGCCAAATGACAGTGCTTGCATTGTTGTGTTCCAGTTTAAAGGATATACAGAGATATTAGTCCATTGGGGAGTTACACTAGTTAGATGATGGAATCTTTTAATCTTTACTTCGTAATTCCATTTTTCATTTTATGTCTTTTTATTAGATTTAAAAGCTATCAAGCACAATAAGAGAATGGTGTAGTTCAAAATAAACTTAAATATAGTTTGTCATCACCATCATCATCATCACCATCACAGACCATTACAAGTCCGCTGCTAAATATAGGCCAAAATGAATGCTACAAAAACTAACAAAGCTGTCTAACCTTAATTGCCAAATAAAAATCAAATATAAAAATGAAAAGGGTCAAGAAAAAATCTTCTTCTCTTTTTAATTAAATTATCCATAAAATCAACAATCAAGTTCAGTTAAGTTAACCTTATTTATCTTCAAAGTCTTCAGTCCCTAACTTTTATATCACTCCATTTAATAATCAACAGCAGTCATCACAACATTATCGGATAAGTTGTATTTGAAGCAATAATTTTTCAAAATCAAAGGGGGCCGAAACCACACAAAGGACGAAATCGCTAAAGTGCTGCCAACTGCCAAACTTTCAAAAAGCAAATACAATATTATATATGGTTATACGTCGTTAGATAGGTAGATATTTATGTTAGTGGTATTAAATAAAAACCATACATATTTATGCATAGCTATGCGTAAGCTGTATGATAGTGATGTATGTGTCAGCACAGATTGTGTTATTTATTAGTGACTAAACTGAACCACTTAAGCTCACAATTTTATTAATTTCATATTTTTTTGAGCTTACTGCTAGTTAAATAATACATATTTTGATATTCCGTTTTGGTTAAAAGTAAAACGATACGTGTAAATAATTACATTTTTTAAAATAATATTTTAAAATAATGGATAATATACTAAATAAATTCATTATTTTTTTAAAGTGATTAACATAAGGTAAAATTTACGTGGAAAACAATTATATTGAATCCATTTTCAACAAAATAAATTACTTAAAAAATACCGATTATCGTATATTTTAACTTTAATGCCACTGGAACAGCACTATCGTGGATTGCATAGTGACGAAAGATACAAAAAGCTGTACGGTGGGCGGGGTGCGTGTGCGCTTTTTGCTCGTGGCAAGGCAACCCGGCACGGTGCCGCACCGGGACCTATTCCTTATTGTATTTTATTCTATTCATAACGCTGTTCCCTGTCTAACGTCTTAGCGATAATTCCTATATTACTACTTAAGTTTTCGTTAATTACGTCTGTTACAATTAACAAGTAATATGCCGATACGATGTTAAAAATATTTTTACACCAAGTTTTATTGATAGATGTTTTGTTTTGCTTTGTGTTCGTGGTATATAAATAAAAAATAATAGTAATTAATAGCATTATTTTATTTAAATTACAGCAAAACTATTTTGCATTATGACTAACTATGAATTAGTGATTCATTTATATTTTCTTAATATAATTTATCATGTTACTGGAGCTGCTACTGATGTAAAGGTAATATTTTTTGCATTATTTTAACTAGTTATATGCATTAACTGCCTAAACTATGTACTTTATATTTTTTATTCAAAACTTAAATAATTAAGTAATTCATCAATGTATTATAATATCTGCTAATATGTTCAAACATAATTCTATGCTTAGACTTATGCCGTACATTTAATAACAGTATAAATTACTTTAGGCAAAAAAAGATACAATCAACACTTTCGATAAATCAATGGGTCATCACTAAACAGTAAAATATCCGTGGAATTGAAAATCAATCCTTATACCAATAAATAGCACCAAGTAGTAAAATACCTAAAGAATCCCTACACTATTATAAAATATATTATATATAGGCACTATAACATATAATGAAATAATATTGTTTATCAGCATATTCTTGCGTTAAGATTTTCGATATATTTAATTAAAAAAAATGCTTAATCACAAATAAATTACAGTAGTTATGTATGTTATCATTTTTAAACATACTTCAACGTAATAAGAAGCTAGTGAATTCTTTCATTGATGTTTAATTACTTTTCATACAAGAAATGGTAGGTTTAAATAGCCGATTTTCTAAAGCTGAAAATTTTAAACTAAATAATTACATCTTAAAACACAGATATCTTTTAATACAAACATATTATATTTTTTTAGTCAAAATGTTATTATATTATTTAGGTTAAGTTTAAGTTATCAAATAAAGCTTTTGAAGGCGGCACCTTACTCTTGAGCGTTAAAAGCGGCGTAAATTGGTTATTCTTTGTCAAATAATGCACAAGTTATAGCCTAGCGTGGTGGAAGCTCAAAAGCCGGAGCTTACCTATAAGTTACGTAGTACTCAAGCAGGCTGGGTTCGATTCCCGGTCATGGAAATTTAATTACTATTTTAAATACTGATTTATAGCATGCCTTAGAAATTAATTTAAGGAGAATATTGCCCTTACGTGTTAATATAGAGCTGGTAAGGCAACATCCATCATTAAAATGTACTTTAAACTAAGAATAACTTTAAGAGTACCTTTAACCGACGAGCGTGTATGCGTAGGTATATGGATATGGAGGAAGCGAGAGAGGTGTGTCAGGATCGTGCCAAATTGAAGTCCGTAGTCTCTGCCTACCCCTCTGGGTGACAGGCGTGAGTGTTTATGTAATAACTTTATGTTGATAGTTCAAAGTTAAGAATTAAATATAATAAAAATTATTTTAATAAATACTTAATAAGAAAAATGTATAATTGATAATAAAATAGTTATTGTGAGGCGGGCACTTTAGATCTAAAGTTTAGATAGAGTCAAAAATTAACATGATTTTGATGTTGGTTACTATTTATTATATTAATCGCAGTCGTCGTCGTATGAGAAGATAAAATAAATGCATGATTGTTTGCGTATGCGCCTATAAAATATATTACATATTATATAGAAATAATAACAATGAATACGGCTCAAACCTACGATAGTGTTAACAAAATTTAGAATTTATGGCGTGGCGCTAGTTTTTCTCATTTTTGCTACTTAGTAACGGAAACTGACAAATTTTGGTAGCGTTTTAAGAGTAGATTATCTATTCACCTATCAATTTGAAATACGCCGTATTGAAATGTTTAAACTTTAGCAAATATAAAGTAAAAAAAGTTATAGCCTATATACGTCCCACTGCTGGGCATAGGCCTCCTCTCATTCCTGAGATGGTTTTCCTCAGCGCTGGCTCAATGCGTGTTGACGAACTTCACATGGCTTCGAAATATATTTTTTCTTATTTCTCAGACATGCAGGTTTCCACACAATGTTTTCCTTTGCTGCCGAGCATGTGGTAAATCAGCACTTAAAATTGCAATTAGCAATTTCATTGGTGCCAACGGGGATCGAACCCAGGTCGCTCTCGTACTGTGAAATTTACAGCGAGCGTTTAGCCACTGAGCCACGGCTCTATATAAAAACAATTATATATAAAAACAATTAAAACAAAATACTAAATGACAATAAAATAAAGCTCTGGAGTTAAACGAAGCAACGCCTACGTGCATCGAAGTCGGTTACCGGAAGCAATCGTTTTATCTCAAAACGACTAAAGAAAGTGACAAGATTATGCACATCTGAGAGGAAATTTCCGCCTACAGGATTTAAGGTTTAAATAAATACATTTTAGTAAATGAATAATAAACCGTGTAGTGCTAGTCTAAGAATATTCTAAGATTATTCTAAGGATATCCACTATCCCATATCATCCCGTGGATGTCGTAAGAGGCGACAGAAGAAAGCTGAACCAGGCAGCGGAATAAATAGCAGCGTGATGCTGCTGTGTTTCATATGGTGAGTTTAGAGAACCGGAGACCCTTTTTACTGGAAACGAGGCATTCCATCTTAGTCCTCACGGCTGCAAAACGCATATGCATTTTGAACCTTAAACGACGTTAAATGGAGATTTCTATGGGCATCAGAGTCCACCTACCATCAGGTGGACTGTGTGCTTGTTTATCATCCACATTTTATAAAAAAAAGCATCTTCCTGATAACAAATGAATAAACATAACTGTGGTCGCTAAATCGCTTGTCAAGCGTGACTACTATGGTACATACCCCTCTATGAGGTAGTCTATGGGGGAGCCCTATGCCTGAGGTCAGCAGTATGTTTTTGATAGGTTATACCTAATGGTTGATGAATAAAACAATTTATTAATAATTTCGTTTTGCAACGCATGACCTAATTACATAAATGATGTATAATGTATAGTGACCATGTAATATGTAGCCCTTACTTATATTGAATACCTTAGATTAAACATATAGAACGAAAAAATTAAAAGCTATAATCATCATCATCATCAACATCATTACAACCCTTCACAAGTCCACTGCTGAACAAAGCCTCCCCCAAGGAACGCCACAAATCTCGGTCCTGAGCCACCTGCATTCATCAACTTCCTGCACTTCGCCTACCGGTAAGCGGCTGCCAATCGAGAACCTTTCCTCCCCATCAGCTATCGGTTCTTCGAGTTATATAAAAGCTATAATAAGCAGTATTATTTCTTAAATGTATAAGTGAAATATAATAAAATAATTCAACACATTTTACAATTAATTCAATTCACTGCCAAGCGAAAATTGGCACCAAACTATACCTTCACACAGTACCCATTGTTGCGAACTGAATTTTAATATTGTGAGTGTTTAATTCTATCGCTTATATTTATAAGGAAAATAATAATAAATGCTTTACAATCTCCTCGCTCCTCGAGTAGATCTATTGTTACGGTGAAATATATTATTCCCGTCCCCTTTTTGTATTTGAAATATCTATTATAAAATTATAACGTTATAAAATTGCCCGGATATTAAGTAATGTTCTTGATTTATTAATTTAATCTTTATTATAATAGTATACCTTAAAATAAGGGCTACAACGGGCGCAGTTAATGCATTATGGCATTCCCTACCAGTCAACCCTGGGGCAAATAGAGGAATTGGCAAGTGTTAAAAATGTTTTAAAAATGTAGTCCAAATTATAGACGTAATGTAACATTTGTCTAGGTGTTATTTCAAGTGATATTATAACTTATTTAAAAAATATCGTAGTGAATGACATTTTGACCAAAAGGACGCCACAAGAAACTAGATATTAAAAATTACAGAATTCTTTATTATTATTCTCGATCGTTCTTAATAAGTGATACTTTTTTTTATAGGTTAGGGTTACAAACGAGCACACAGTCCACCTGATGGTAAGTGGTTGCTGTGGCCCATAGACATCTACATCTATCTATCAATAAAGATTCAAAATGTATATGTGTTGTCACCCGTGAGGTCTAAGTTGGAATGCATTTTTTCCAGTAAAAAGGGTCTCCGGTTCTCTACACTCACCACACGAAACACAGCAGTGTTTGGCTGCTATTTTACGCTGGTATTCTGTGAAAGCGTGGCCCTTCCCCGGTCGAGCCGACCCATTCGTGCTACAATTATATTACTAATATGAATATATCATACGTGGTAGAATATATCAATCTGCATGTGACGTGAAAGTCGTCAGAGGAAAATGAAACGGGAGATGGACAGCAGCATCTTCTTGGTAATAATTTAAAATAATAAATAACTGCGGTTGCCCAAGTGTGTTATCTGTAGCAAATATCCAATTTATGTGCAATTTATGGCGGAAGCCTACGTTCAGTATAGATTTTTGATAGGCCGTTATTATTATAATGATTTAGTATCGATCTTTTTTAAGAATTCACTTTAAACATGTATAGATTTTTCCACGGAGATTTTTCCATACATTTGAATTACTTAGAAGATACTAGGATTATTTAAACACCACTGATATCTCGAAATTATAAAAAGCCAGTGCGACTTTAGCAGCTAAATTTTCAAAAAAAATATTTCTAAGTTCTTGATATTTTAACTGATTTTTCGAAACAGGTAAAAATCACATAATGATAGGTAAAGGAAGTGAGAGTGAGGGAATGAGGCAAAATAGACACGTTTATTGAATTAATTTTAAAATTGGCTTTCGTGGTACTAGAGTAGTTTCTGTAATCCACACGTTGGACGCTTGTAATTAATAATACCTTTTGGACACAAACTGTCACATAACACCACACTCTAACACCACAGACAGACAGTCTTACAGAAAAACGAAGCGACCATTCGTCTCCGTGTGCTCTGCAGCGTTGGAGTCCGCGCACTTCCAAAGCAACCTATATTTGACTATGGCTTTATTTCAAGATCATAGAAATATTGTCATATTTCATAGACACCGCAGTCTGCATATCGTTTATTTTTTTAAACGTTTTTTTTTTCAGTGGCGTTGAATTATTTTATCCCTCATTAAATCCACCAGTCATTCGTTGCTCATCGGTAAGCTTGTTTGGCACCCATAACAAATAAAGCTTACGAATAGAAAGTTCGTCGTAATGCTGATTTGGATTGCTGCTGATAAAATAACCAGTTTTCGTTCAAGCTCTATATATTATGTAATTTGTAGGTTTTCTCCAATTAGTTTTTCGGCTGCTCAAACATTTTATTGAGTAAAAGCGGTTAGCGGCCGACCTTATTGGTGGCAAAGGAAGGTGACAAACGAGCACACAGTCCACCTGATGGTGAGTGGATGCGAAGGCCCATAAACATCTACATCTATCATTTATTAGTATTGAAAATGCAGACGAGTGGTCACCCCTGAGGATGGAATGCCTCCGTACCATTAAAAAGGTTCTCCGGTTCTCCACACTCACCATACGAAACACAGCAATATTATTCTTCTGTTTCACCCCGGTATCTTGTGAGAGCGTGGTACTACCCCGGTCCAAGGAGCCGAGCTATGTATAGCGGCAGCGTGACTCTACCACGTAAAAACTTTATGTGCTTATGTAGCTTACCTACCAAAAGTAGCAGCCTAAATTTCATAAAATTGTTTGCGTTTTAAAAGTTTTTAATAGGCATAGTAAATAATAGCGCGAAAATCGGCAGATTCCAAATTTCATTTTGAATTTTTTGTAATTTAGTTTTTAAATTATCTACTCTTGTAATAACATACATATTATGTATGCATATCAACTACAATAAACAAATAAAAACTAAGAGATCGATTAATAAGTGACGTTGTAAATGAAGAGCCGAAATCAAGGAAAATACATACGGACATGTAAATATTCGAGGATACTTAATTACCTATAGGCATTAGAGACTGTATCTTTCTTTTTATGTGTGTTACCTCATAACATTTTCTAGGTAAACCGATTTCGATGATCCTTTTTATATTTGAAAGCTGGTGCTTCTCACGTGGTCCCATATAAATTTGATCAAGGTCTGACCAATAGTTTTTAAGTTATTCTTAATAATTAAAATTGAAGTCGGTTGTACAAAATTTTTTATTTCAAATTATTTCTTTAAGTGATTGATTAGGATATTGATACCCATATAGTTTCTGAAAGTCTAAGAAGTAATAAAAATAAGTTCTCACTGTGATGAAAGCCGACTAGGAGAATACTATCTAAATTGTAAGAAGAACTTTATTATAACAAACGTTTAATAATTCATTTAACTTTCATTTAAACCTAGAATCCTCTGAGTAGCGTGACATGTGCATCTCGTATCTCATCCTGTGAAGCAAACGCGGGAAGTTCTCAACAGCCGGTTTGCGGCACCGACGGCCGAAACTACCCTTCCAGATGTCATCTTTTAAAGGCCCAATGCTCCGGTGAACCTGTGTCTGTTGCCCACAGAGGACCTTGTGTTGGTGAGTAAAATTGTTACTTTTAATTTACTGGAAAAAATAATATCGATAACGCTGATGACCTTGTCCATAACTTTTAAAATATCCGTGCTAATTTAAATACATATTATTTTTAATGAAAAACATGTCGTGGTCGGGGAAACAGTTTCTTCGTATTTTGTTTGTATAAAATTGAAGAAAAATGTCTTTGGTTGTACTGTGTGTATCTGGCTGGTTTTATTTATATCAATACATAAAAGATATTAAGAAAAAGAAAAAGTAAAATCCCCATTCTTCAATTGTTTTTCTGTCTGCCAAAATGAGTGAATCTAACGAAGAAATTCGATGCATTCTGAAGTTTTATTACAAAAAAGGGAAAATTGCTACTCAAGCTGCTAAAAGAATTTGTGACGTTTATGGACCTAATGCAGTATCAGTAAGAGTAGCACAAAGTTAGTTCAAGCGTTTTCAGTCCGGAATTTTTGATGTCAAAGATGCAGCTCGCACTGGTCGCTTCATACGGATAAAGTCGATGCTATTTTTGAATAATTTAAAATTAAAAATTTTGTACAGCCGACTTCAATATAAGTTATTTAAGAATAACTTAAAAACTATTGGTCTGACCTTGATCAAATTCATATGGGACCACACGAGAAGTACCAGCTTTCAAATAAAAAAAGAATCATCGAAATCGGTTCACCCAGAAAAAAGTTCTGAGGTAACACACATAAAAAAAAAACCAAAAAAAAAAACATACAGTCGAATTGAGTACCGGCTCCTTTTTGGAAGTCGGCAGAAAAGTAGAGAAATATCGGCATATCAGTAGTTACGACATAGCCGAGTAATTGAGGATTGACTTTGTGGTCAACAGTATTTATGTTATTACCACAATATAGTTTATTATGAGCTTTTACCGCCTGGCAAAACCATCGATTTGGATCTTTAGTGCCAAAAACTAATAATACTCAAGCAATAAATTGCGAAAACACGGCCGCATTTGATTAACAGAAAAGGAGTGGTCTTTCATCATGATAATGACTAACCAAACACACATATTTGACCACTCAGCAAAAATTGAGAGAGCTTGGTTGGGAAGTGTTAATGCATCCACATATACATATAGTCCTGACCTTGCACCCTCAGATTTTCACCTGTTTTGATCTCTTCAGAATTCTTTGGGTAGTGTTTGGTTCACATTAAGAGAGGACTGTCAAAACTAGTCGCAAATTTTTTGATAAAAAATCACAAGATTTCTACAGAAACGGGACTATATATATAACCCCATGGTCGTCTCAATCTACGGCTGAATTAGCAACAACTTTCGACGTTAGCATCAAAACAATATTGATCCATTTTCGTCAAATTGGGAAGCTTGACAAATGGGTGCCCCACGAACTCAATGATCGCTAGCGTGAAGTTCGCGTCGAGACGTGCCTTGCACTGCTCAACAGCACGCAGACGGAAAAATGTTGAACCGCATTGTTACCTCTACGAAAAATGGATTCTGTATGGCAATCGCAAGCACTCAGCAAGTTGATTGGCTCCTGGTTCAGCACCTAAAGAATGACCCCTAGAAAAGTGATGGTCACTGTTTGATGGTCTACCGCCGGTGTGATTCATCGCAGCTTCTTACCAAACGGGATGAGCAATGCTGCAGATCTTTACTGTGAAGAATTTAACACAATGATGGAGAAGCTCGCACGTCTCCAACCAGCTTTGGTCAACTGCCCGTTCCCTGATGCTCCTGCACGACTACGCGCGACCTCATACTGCACAACAGACGGTCTCCAAGTTACAAGAGCTGTGGTTGGAAGCTCTCCATCATCCGCCGTACTCACCAGACCTTTCGCCTATAGACCAGAATTTGGAAAACTTTTTTGGGGGGAAAAATCAACTGAGAGGCAGTACAAAATGCCTTTGAAGAATTTGTTGCCTCCCGTCCAGCTGATTTATTCAAAAAGGGCATCAAAAAACTGCCACTGCGTTGGCAAAGATGGTGATGGCTTTGATTTATAGAAATAAAAAATTAAAAAAATTACGGCTAATTAATAAAATTAGAACTTATTTTACAAGAAACGGCAATTTCAAAAGTAAAGACCGAATAGTTTGAAAAAGTTATTAAATTCCCTCTTGTATGTCCTGTTCAAAGAACACAATGTATAAAACATTTCTTATTGTTATCTGTCTTCTGTATGCCATCGGTCTGGTATCAGTTCCACCTAAATAAAACCCAATATTAGTCTTAGTCATCACATCACAAAATAACCATTTTTGGCTATTTGATCTTCAGCCATAATTTATATTTTATTGAGAGAAAATACTAACTCTACTCGGATCGAATTCTCCGCCAGTACACGGCATTGGATTTAGTTTTATTAAATGCAGGATTAAGTCTTCGGTAGCTATCACCATCTGGTACCAGCCATCTGAGCTATTAATATTAGGATGTGTTTTTGTGTTCTTTAATAGATATTTATTATTTTTTGTTTTTAATGTTCTATTTATTTTGATTCCGGCAGTAATTTTAAAGGTAAAAGGAAAAAATTAAGTGCATTATTTGAGCCCATTGAATGTAAGATATTGATGTTCCGTAGGTTTATTGTTAATGCAGCTTTAAAATAATTCGCCAAATCCAACACTTGACACTAAAGGGATTGTTTTTAAATTCTAAGAATAGTCCTGAACGTTAATAAGTATAAGTGAAAATTGGGCTAAATTAATCAGTATTAATACTTTCGCGCTTTAATGACACAGAACCCTAAATGCACTATTTATAATCAACTGCTCAAGAAGGGAGATAATCCTTTTCGTGTATACGTACATTCTGTTTATTTTTAGTCCCTTGTCTAAACGACCTAAAGCATTTTGAAATGCAAGTTATCAGAAGATGGGGCTGTATTTTCAGAATGCTACATTTTCTATCTTATTACAAAACGTAGTTTATCGCTAGTCTCCAGTTTTCTGCACTCAAATCTAGAATCCCCTTACGTATGTATATAAGAAACTAGATGCAATGCAATGCCATTTCATCAATTATTATTTTTCATCGAGATTATTAATAATAATATTAGAGTGAAATTAAATATAGAAAATAGATTTACAGTGATTGCTTTACACAACTTGAATAGAGCCGTCAGCCAAATTATTAAGACAGCCGAATGTTTTTGTATCGCACGATCGAAAAGTACACTAACAATTCCCCTGTCGAAGATTATACTCGTATTTTGTGGTATCCGACACCGGGTGCTCCGTGCTATTCGCACCAGATTCGCTGTAAGCTCTGTCAAAGCATGAATTCGATGAAACTTTATAAGGTCACAAAAAATTATATTCCATGAATAAAAGATTTCTCCTACGACACTGACAAAACCTGATGCAAGATGCTTACCATTGATACATTAGACCTGTCTGTGTCAGTCCCTGCAGCTTAAATCAAAACGCTTGCTGTCCCGGAAGACACAGAACATTAAAGATACGTTTGAAGCGTGGGTACTAGAACTAGCAAAATATTTGTAAGTTTGCTTATTGAATCCTCGCAGAAAAACAGAAGCGGGATGATGGTCACGTTGAACTTTTCCAATTTCAACGTGACCCTCATCCTGCTTCTGTTTGACAATATGAAAACATAAGTTTTATTATCACTAAACGTATAAGTACTTTAAAAAAAAGATGTTATGCATTTTATTGTGTAATTAAATTTATGACTGTCGTTAAATGATTTATCTAATAAATAAAAATTTATTAGATAAATCATTTAACGACAGTTTTAATTTCATCATTTATTTGCATATATAGCTACTCTGTTATTTTCAAGACGTTATAATAACAGAGTAGCTATTAGCTACTAGCTAGTTAGCTATTTTAAAAGAGTAATAAAATAAAATACATGCAGAACATCTTTTCATTATTGATAGTTAAATAATGTTTCAATATGAAGTATAAAATGTAATTGTGTCAACCAAGTGGTCTCGTAATAGTTCTTTTACGAGACTGTTAATTCAATCATCCCGTGGTGATGTGAAATGCAGTGTATTTTTATAATCGCTGATTAAACATTCATGTTTTCATCATCATTACAGCCTTTCATAAGTCCACTGCTGAACATAGCCTCCCCCAAGGAATGCCACAAAGCACGGTTCTGAGCCACCTGCATCCATTGACTTTCTGCATGTCTTACCAGGTCGTCACTCCATCTCGTGGGGGGTCGCCCTACACTTCGCCTACCGGTACGAGGCTGCCACTCAAGAACCTTTCTTCCCCATCGGTTGTCGGTTCTCCTCCCTCGCAATCACGGAGACATCACTGAACAGTTGTCGTCTGGTCGTCATAATGAAGTCAATCGCATTTTTTGTGGAACCGTCGGGGCTCGACCAGGTCCACTTCCTGTGGGGCTGCTTCTGGAAGAAAGAGTTCATCATAAAGAGTCCCTCTTTCTCCATGAAGTCGGTCAGCTGCTGGCCCCTTGGGTTCCGTTGCCCTATTCCGAATTTCCCTACCTTCAGCTCACCGTTCTCTCTTGTGCCTAGTTCTGCGTTGAAGTCTCCCATTAACACAGTATAGTCGGTTTTGGAGGAATGCATGGCTCTAGAGATATCCTCATATATTTCCTCCACCTCCTCATTGGGGTGTGCCGAGGTTGGTGCGCAAACCTGTATGACCTTCAGTGAATACCGTTTGGTGATTCTGAGTATAAGGTACGCAACCCTCGTCGACACACTCTCAATCTTTACAACGTTGTTAACGAGAGACTTGTGGACGATAAATCCGACACCTCCTTGGGACAGGTGGTCGCTCTCCCGGTGATAGAATAAGTTACCGGATTCGAGGATTACCGTGTCCTCCCCCTCTCTCGGACTTCGGATAATCCTATAATATGCCAGCGTAATTTGTCTATCTCTTCTTCCAGCTCCACGATCTTCTCGTCAGTCCTCAGGGTGCGTGCGTTGTATGTTGCCAGGTTAGTCGTCTTAGGTGGCAACCGAACCTCCACCGGAGATGGGGGCCGTTTCCTTGTTACATTCATAGGGGTTATTTGCCATAGTTGCCACGCCTGGCGAGCGGGTTGGCAACCGCAGTTTTTTTATTCTAATTTTTGCTGTTACCAGGAAGATGCTGCTGCCCATCTCCTGCCTGTTTCCCTTTGTCGCCTTTTACGACACCCACGGCAAGATATGGGGTTGTGTAATTCATGTTGAAACAATGATATTTATATATACTCGTAGAATAAAAAATGCAAGGGACTAGGTATGTACTTATGTCGATGATTGGGCTCGAACAATAGGCCAAATTATCAATTAATTATATATTTCTAATACTTATGGAATATTTATAATTCCTCGAATAATTAAACCTTTATTAGTTTTTAACCTATCTACGATGCCTTTATCAGTAGGTATAGTGATCTTGAGCCCGTTTTATCTTAGTATGAATAAATTCCTTTGTTTTCCTTGAGTCACTAGTGTTAATACCTCTTGTACAGAAGTCTGTGCATGTTCTTTGTTTCATATAAGGCCTCAGTCGAAATTATAATTTCCAATTTCTGCCAATCAGCTTGTATGTTGTTCATAATCGGCCGAAATCAACTATATTCTTGGTCATCTATAACATTAAGTTAATTGCCATGCTGTGTTGTGTGATGATTGGTGAGAACCGCGGAGATCCTATTTGAGTAAATAGGTAACTGCCATGTACTGTGTGTGCAATTGTGACCCTTACTTGTATCTATACATCTAGACAAATAAATAAAATTGAAGTGCCTGTTTGTAATGTCAAAATAACAGCTTTTTACTAAATGCATATGAAAGTATATACGGTATTTATATCAAAAACGCAATTTATAAAAATTTTGTCTGTCTGTCGGTCAGTCTGTCTGTTTGTTCCGGCTAATCTTCGAAATGGCTGGACTGATTTTGACGTAACTTTCAGTGGTAGATATCTGGTATTATAAGGAGTAACTTAGGCTACTTATATTTTAGAAAAAGAATTAGGGTTCCGTGTAAAAAAAATGAAAACCCATGAAATCCAATCGTAACAAGTTACACGCGGGCGAAGTTGCGGGGAACAGCTAGTTCTATATTAAAAGTTTAAAAGAAACTTCTTTTTATTTCTGACATGATATAGACCAAGAATAAGCTCTGAGGTGTTGTAATTTTGCAACGATGCGAAATAAACTACAATAAAATAAAAAATCTATTACATCATAGACATAAATCACAAGACTGAAAAAGCGATACCATTTAATTGTGTAATTGAAATATAAGTGTACTAATCAAATAATTAGGTTAGCTGTTCAAATAAAGTGCAATTCATCAGAGAGCTATAAAAATGGATGAGATACTCATGTACTTATACGTATTCGCCAAAGTCAAATTATCAACGTATGCACATCACAATCGCAAGACACCGATAATTTGTAAGTTTATGCTAAACACAACTTTAACATTTTTGACCTTGTGTGATGATTCCCAATATTCAATTTTGTCATACATGTCATACATATTCAATGCATTTGTCCAATACGTTTCCTCCAATGCTATGAGAGCTTACACGTTCTAGACCTTTTTCGGTTTTTACAATGAATTTATATCACATTTATATTTTCACTTCACTTAAGTTCACCGCATTAAAAAAATCGATATATGTTTACTCAAGTCCATACATCATGTCATTTTTTTATAGAAGTAGGGTGATAAACGAGCACACAGTCCTGCACCTGATGGTAAGTGGTTGCTGTGTCCTATAGACATCTACATCTATCCTCGTTTGCGAATCAAAATGCAGATGCGTTGTCACCCGTGAGGACTGAGATGGAATGCCTTTTTTCCAGCAATAAGGGTCTGTTATTACAAGCTTACTTTAACTACTACCGGCTGATGTCGTCTACGTATAGGATAGTAACCAAAACAAGCACGCAACACAAAGACACTCACTCTCAGTTAGCCTATTTTTTCGTGAGGAAATTCTCATGGGTACCTTCGGCTGCGGGGGTGATTTAAAGGTTAAAAGACTCTTACTGGCTAAAATCCCACGGTGGTCACCATTAGCGTATACGAGAGGTCCCGGGATCCGTTCGGAACGCAACCGGCTCCCCTCCATTGCTTTGAACGCTTTTCTTTGGATAGGGAACGCAGCCCAAATATGAGGACGCCACTCATATCTGGGCAAGACTGGCAACTCCACACAGGCAGTCTCAATCATTTTCACTATGAGGGCGATAGATATGAGAGCGACGAAGCAACAGTCGTGCAGTGGTTAAACTGAGTTCTCGTACGTAAAAGTATCTCTTGATAAAAAAAGATCACGAAACTTGCTATAATGGTTAAAGTAGGCTTAAATATACACAACAAATGCACCCCTAAAAATATAAATTTTATACTTTAAAATAAACGATAGCTTTTACTTGGGAATTACCATGCCACCTACCTACTAAACACCTCAATGCATACAAACTGGAAAATGCAAGTGGCTTAGGATCATGTCTTGTGGAAATGTATGGTGCTGGCCTATATTGGGCATAGGACTTGTGATTGGCCGTATTGATGATGATGATTATGCAATATGAAATATCATCTTTCAACATAATTTTATTGTCTTTCAGAAATTCTTTATATATAGAATTATATTCTTATGAATATAAGTGATAGTTAACAATCCAGCCGTGTAATGGACTTTTAGTATCCTCCCAACAGGACAGTCATCATGCCTGAACGTACAACGGTACGCTCTGAGCGCGCAGGGCGGGCATAGGCCTGCGTTCGTACCGCGATGCCGTGCCGACGGTAGCTACGCCTCGGTACAGTGTGCAGCGGCTGGAGCTGCTGCTGGCTGCTGGTGCGTAACTCCTGACGGGAAACCTCTTCCTGATACTGCCGTAAGAAACGGCAGACCCGACTGCACCCGGACCGGTAAGATTTCTAAAGAAAGTTTTGCTTGCGTTGTTTACGTAATTTCTGTTAGTATTTCAGTAATTTCCTTTGCTTCGCGAACTTGTTTGCAAGGTGCATTTGATGTATGCTTTGTTAATATTGCTTAGGTATAAAATCTAGACCACAGGACATCAAAAGTATGCGAATATCTACTCTAATTAAAACACTTTTAAATTATTTTTGTTATATCTTACTTTCCATCCGCTTGATTTAAACATTCATGCAGTGTTTTATTGCGACTCATTTGCAAAGTTACATTATTTATTATTAAGATCTACAATTTGGATACAGCATTTTAAACGGGTTTTGCCAAGGAAATCACGGTTCTTACTAACAATAGCAAGTGATTGAACTGTATTGCATGCGATGACGATTAACCATTGTGTCCAAAAACTGTATGAATTTTTCTTGCATTTTGTACATTACGACGTAACTAAATGTAGTATGATGAATAACAAAATTAATTATAACGGCACTTGTGCGGTTAGACAAATGCTATGATGACTAATAACAAAAAATAATCTTCCGAGAAAACTTAACTTTTACCATCCGACTAAAAACATCTGTTCTACTTAACTCTGAATTATAAATATTGAGCTCAAGATAGTAAGTAAACATTGTACCAGATGAAAACCGAAGTTTACATTAAACTCTAAGCGGTCTTTGAACGTATCTACAAACGTAACAACTGAAATAATCATACACTATTTATCATGACTACGATTGAAGTAAAAAATATACGAACCGGTATAAAATGCACATATTCATGTAACCGTGCACTATGCAGTGTACACACAGGCGCCTGGTTTCTTCGTAGGTATGGACTTTGTAATGCAAGCAATATAAATCTCGCCATTTACGCTCAACTGTAGATTTATTATATTTAATAAATATACTGCGTGAAAGGCTAATTTCTGCACAGTGTTTCTGGAACGAAAAATACCGATTTCTCACTCATACTGATCTTAAACAGAGCAGGGCATTTCGTTGATTAATTAATAGACTGTTGCTTTAATATAACACTGTGTCTGGCTTTCGAGCAAAGCTATGAAAAATATATAGGTACACAATTTAATATAGAAAATTTTATAAAATTTTGTATTGTAACTACAGTATGACCATCAATTTTGTTCGTTTTCTTTACCTACCCAAAACTGTCCACACCTGGACATAGTAGGCCTCTCTACTTATTGAAAGGATTTCACCCCTTGAAGTTTCGCACCACCATCCTTTAGAATAGAATAGAATAGAATATTTTTTATCCAATATACATTACATGTGTAATTCTTATTGAAAGTCATTTTTTACTTTACCACTGGTTCGAAAAAAACCCTCTGTCCTGGGAAGAACCATCAAGAAACCCAGCGGGACTTTTTTTTAAAATAAATTTTACAATATAAATGATTACGAACAATTTACAAAATTTATTTTAGAAACTGCTTGGAAGCGACCACCTCATTCCCAGGGGTTATTATCAACCATGTATTCATTTATACTATAATAACCCTTTTTATACAGTTTCAGCTTAATAAAACATTTAAACTTGGTAATAGAGAGAACCTGTACACTTTCCGGGACCTTGTTGTAATAGTGTATACTTTGCCCCAAGAATGAATTACTGACTCTGTGGAGTCGAGAAACTGGCATAGCTTGTGTTTGTTCCTAGTGTTTACAGAATGTATATCACTTTTTTTACTAAAACTATCTTTGTTTTTGTGAACATACATTAAATTTTCGTAAATATACTGAGAGGCCAAAGTTAATATATTAATTTCTTTAAATTTATCTCTAAGAGACTCTCTCGGTTTTAGATTGTAAATAGCTCTAATGGCCCTCTTCTGTAAAACAAAAATAGTTTCTGAATCAGCCGCATTTCCCCATAGCAAAATCCCATAAGACATTATGCTATGGAAATAACTAAAATAAACTAATCTAGCTGTCTCGACACTAGTGAGACCTCTAATCTTTTTTACAGCATAGGCTGCAGAACTTAGTCTGCTTGCTAATTTGGATATATAGGGGCCCCACTGGAACTTTGCGTCAAGAGTGATGCCAAGAAAAACAGTGGATACAACAGGGCTCAATTCCTCCCCATTTAAAAACACATTGGTATTCAGATTTTGAACATTCGTTGTTGTAAATTTAACACAATTAGTTTTATTTCCGTTCAAATGCAGATTATTAACGTTAAACCAATGCACTAATTTTGATATAGCATTATTCACTTCGTCACATTTAAATGATTGACGTTTAAGTTTAAAAATCAAGGAAGTATCATCAGCTTTGTCTCTGTTTTCTGGGTATTTTACATTTGGCATATATTATACGAGATTGTAAGCTTCGTCAATCTGCTAGCTGCTACTGAGTTTTTTCCTGTCGTTATATCTTAATCGAATCAAATCTTATTTAAATTATGAAATAGTGAAGGTGGACCTTCTTATGCTGCCAGTATGTCACTTAAAATACTCGTTTAAATTTATTTTTTTTACTGGGTATTGATTAATGTATTCCGAGACACTATATTTACCTCTCATTTTAAAGGTATAGTCATGTAATTTCGTCTTATTTTGTGATTTAGTTCTAAATGTTATATTTTTAATATTATTTTTATAGAAACGCTTTCGAAATGTTTTTCCTTTCTTTGGAGCTCACATAGCGGTCAGGGGCTCATAAATGCGGAAGACATCAATTCCGACTTGTTTACTAGGCAGGTGTCTATTATCGAATTAAATGACATTGATACGAACGGGAAGATGCGACGAACCGAGAGATTATGTTTACCCATGGGTGGCATCATAATTTAAAGTAAATCTAGAGATTGTATAAGAACAAAAATACATCTAAAATCAAAATTAACGAACGGTTTTTGGTGCATCGTTGACACAGCAACATAATTTATACAGTTTTTTAGTAACAGCACATACTCGTACGTAATTTTGTGTTGTGTTTCCACTTCACATATTTATAGACTTCATAAACCGTAATACTCTAGGGGTGGTGGCAGTGGATCTTTTACTCTGAAATTGTTGAATTTTCTTTATTCTTTATACTTGTTGGTAAATCAGCATCATACTCCACTATTGGACAACGTTATTTTAAAGCGCAGCACCACAATGACCTAGCACGGTGGTTCTTCTGCCCAACACTCTTTTCGTGGGATTTCGCTACAGCATTTTAAATAGGTTTAATAGGTGTTTGTTGCACATAAAATTGTATGTCTCCAAAAATAGGGCCAAAAAGCTACAGGAAAACTACGATTTGTACTTCACGATTGATACGTTCTCCTTACATTCTACATTAATATAAAGTACTAAATCACTCGCTTCTAAAAATATGGTAATTGCAATATATTTAAAATCTAAAAATATTGTAATTGCAATATGTTTGTAATTAAAGGATATATAGAAATATTTTGTGGTCTCGCCATACAAAATAGTCCGCAGTCTGTTCTAGAGACCATTACGTATTGTGAGACCTATGTTACCGTAAACATAATAATGACTATTCTCTTTCTTTCTCTACACAATTTTTCAATGGGATAGAAAACTTCTTACATCCATAAATTATATTAGGTTTGTTCCTGAAATTTTTAATGTTAACATGAACATGTGCACTAGACGTTTCTCAATAAGAAAGACACCTTTTTAAATCTACTATTCATTTTATACTCTTTCTTCATAACATTGCTTTGTTAATAAAAAAAAAGTGATAAATAAATATGTTACTGTATATATACCTATATAATTAATATAAGTTATTATTAAAGAAAATATTATAATAATTACATTCTTTCAACTCTTAGACACTGACATAATTCAACAATACTAATTACAGCCGGAAATGCAAAAGGAAGTCACGACTCACGAGACAGAGTTTCATCTAAATGAGTCAGTCCAAATATTATAGTCTGAGTTTCGCAACGCAGAGAGCGGAGACGATGACCCAATGGATATAAGTTCATTAAAAGTCCGATAGTTTTTGGACAACATTTATAAGAAAAAAACTTCTTGTCGGTTTTAGATTTCAGTAAAATTTCCCATCAAAACCTATAATAAAATTCTCTTATATTTTATTTCGCCTGATTCAGTGTCTCTTTTGATTTTGAGATCGACAGTTTGATATGAATGCATTAGTTACTGCCACTGTGTAAGTTATATTAGTTATTAAAAAGGACAATACAAAAGATTGAAAGTTCAAATCGTTCAACAGAGTGCGCATTAAATAACGAGAAAGAGGAGACCAGCGACGCGCGCTTGCCAGCTAATTAATTCGTAACTATATATTGGTCAAGGTGAGGATGCAATTACAGTGGAGCTTCTGAAAGCGGGTGGAAAACCGGTACTTGAAGTATTTCAGAAGTTCTTTAAATCCGTCCTCCATTGGGGGACTACTCCAGAGGCGTGGAGCAGAAGTGCGGTGGTCTTGTTCTTCAAGAAAGGCGACAACGTTGGAACACGTTTTCAAGCTAATGGATTGGAAAGGATACGGTATTAACATGAATGGCGAAACATCATACAACTTCAATTTGCCGATGATATAATCCTTATGACAGAATCGCTGGAGGACTTAAACACTATGCTCAATGACCTCAACAGTGCCTCCCAACGGATAGATCTTAAGATGAACATGGACAAAACAAAGATCATGTGTAACGTCCACGTCACACCTATGCCGGTAGTTGTTGGGAACACTAAGCTCGAAGTTGTTGACGAGTATGTTTACCTGGGACAAATAGTCCGACTAGGTAAGTCCAACTTCGACCGAGAAGCCAATCGACGGATTCAACTGGGTTGGGCAGCGTTCGGGAAATTACGGCACATCTTCTCGTCAGATATACCGCAAAACTAGAAAACGAGATTGTACAACAAGTGCGTGTTGCCAGTGATTACTTATAGATCTGAGACCTTGCCCTTCACTGGTGTCCGTATGTGGAAGGTCAAGGTCGCTCAGCGAGCTATGGAAAGGGCTATGCTCGGAGT